AATTCATTGAAAATTCCTTGCAAAATTGCACATTTTAATGAAATGTCATTTGCTCATTAAACAGTCATGTTTTTACTTGCTTTATGGTCCTTATTGCAAAGGAAATTAGTTTTTTTTTTTTTTAAATACGGCACATTTTTTTAGTAAAGTAAATCTAATGTGAAATGGAAAAATACTTACGAGGCGGCAGTGTATATATACAGTTTTACGGTGAATGTGGTGATTTATAAAGGCAATATGTGTTCTTTACTAGGGGTTTTATTATTTTAAAATAAACATGTAAATGACTTATTCGAAGAGAATATTAAATCATCGAGTTCTATGGAGTCGCAGGTGCTATAGATATGTTTTATTATGATTTTACTGAAATTTTGTATACATGGATAGAATTCATTAAATGCTTACAAATATGAATAAAGTCTAGCGAATGAACATCAAGCAAAGGAAAATACTATAAAAGTTAAAAGATAATACGAACACTGTTATAGGAACGGTAAAGAATGTTTACCATAGATCACCTTCATACATTAAAACAACATAGACTACTTTTAACCCCACATAATAAAATATTGAAAATTTGAAACAAGTGTAGAAAGTTCATGTAATGCAAAAATTAATGGAAGTACTGTATACCATCGTATAATTTAACTGAACAAGTGCTGTACAATAATAAAAGTTTCAATTAACGATTGATAAAATTATTTTAACTGTTAATCTTCTAATGGAATTAACGTTGAAGCCAGAACAAATTATAGTCGCATACATTTAGACGTTTCCTGATTAGATTTAAGTAAAAAGAAAGGTTAATTATAAAGAGTGCAAATTAACATTATTGATCTCGCTCATACTCGATAAGAAGCAGCGTAGCACACACGACCGGAAGCATAAATGATTAAAGTAGGGGTAGTTACGAGTCCAGGGCTGAGCGGCTGTGAAACCGACGAGTGGCCTTTGTTTTAGAATTTATTAGTGACGGACGAACCTACAGCTAAGCTCTAGGGAGCCACTGGAAGGTGGGTGACGTGGATGAACCTACGACTCAACTGTAGGGGGTCACGTGGATGAACCTACACTTAACGTAGTGTAGGGAGCCATTAAGGAACCCAGTCAGGCAAACCTGCAAAGCGAAATTTTGTCCAATGCCTGTTACAAAGTTATGGCTACATGTTTTATGCAATATTTGGTATAAACACCTTGCGCGCACATTGGCAACAACATATGCAGCAAATTGGTTTGCGCAAACCTTGTTTCGGTTTGGCCCTCAATTTGACATAGGTTATGTTGCAAGACTTTCTGCCAATTTGCTTTACCATTTTGTCAACTGACGTTTCCTGCAAAACCCAAGTCCAATGAGGAAACAAATGGCTGTGGTTTTTTAGATAACTTTTGTTATTAATTGTTGGCAATTTTGTCGAAACTTGTATACAACTGGTTATCATGGAAGCAGGTTGTCACGGAAGAACCTATAACTAAACTGCAAGAAACTGCTAGGTGGTTGGAACTCGTGGATGAATCTACAGCTGAACTCGAAAGAACCACTAGAAATATTAATATGCCTCGTAACTTTATAATTCGATACAGTTCGAGCGGTAAAAGTGCACCGTTCTGGGTTCGCTTCAGGCTGGGAATTTACATAGACATTAAACGGAGTCGAAATGAACAACTCTAACTTAATAACATATGTATACTGTATTACGTAAGAGACGATTTTACAAATGGTTAGTGTAAAGTGTACAGTGGAAGCTAAGTCCAGGTTACTTGGTTTTGACGTACTGAGAAATACGGGGGTTTCTGATAGTTTGTAATGGCTAAGAGTAATTTGATGTACCTACTGTATGCTTAGGGTAATTCTCGACTAGGACTAATACTGAGTATTGCTTGTACGACTTTTATGTGAGAATGAACCCGATATTCAAGCTTGTGTGTCCATTTTTATATCCAAAAAAGAGGCTTCAAAAGTAGTGGGGGACACGAACGCTTCCAATCTCGGAACTGGATGTCCTGGAAAATCGGGCCATGCTGTACGACCCCGACAGCAGCGAACTTATCTTTAAATTAAGAGGTTAAAGGTTAAGAGGTCACGGGGAAAGTCATCGAACGTAACAGGGTATTACCAAATCCAAAGCAGACGCAGCTTGTGGACTGAATATCCCTTCGCATACCAGTAATTAATATGTATAATAAGCAAAATATGTTTGTAGAACAATTTAGTCGATTTCATACGTTTAGAGACAAATTTTCAGGCAGCAACGAGTCCTTTAATAAAGGAATCAGATGTGTTATTAATTTCTAGTTATTATACACGTCATGAATACCGATTCACCTGTACATTAGAACTTTCGTAATTAATAAAGTGAAATTATTTGAACAATTAATCTTATTACCTTTTATTAAAAAGGACATCAAGGACAGTCGTTCTGTATCAGTATAAAGACACTGTGTTTTGTACATGAATATTTCAGTTTCGTTTCACGAAATCATTGAGAGAGTGTGTAATACTTCCTTTGTAATGGTAGCAGTTATATAATCGATAAGTTGTACATTATCAACGCGATGCTCTTCTAGAAGGTCAACTGGTGCGTAGAGTCGCTTGAGTCGTCTTTGTACGTTGCATACTATAGTGGATCAATAAGTAACCCTTGTAGAAAAAACTGTCATGTACTTTCAAATATTACGAAGATTCCTTAAAGTACGAAAGAGCGATTTTTGTTTTATCGAAATTTCAGTAACTTCGATTTCTAAATAGTAAGTCCTTAATAAGAGTTAAAATTTGAATTGAGATTATTGAAATTACTTTTTAAATACAAAAAAGTTTCGATATTATATTGTAACCTTTAAAGAGTAATCTTCGTAATTAATAACTTATATTAATATAAAATAATTCGTAATTAAATATCTCATAATTGGAATGACAATTTAGTGAAGTATTAATAAAAGTAGTATTGTCTTTTAATAGTTAAATCATTCTCCAATAACATAAGGAGTATCGGTCTTAAGTACACACAAACTAACTTTAAATTGTTAATGAAATAAAGTCCTGTACTTTATACAACACAGCACAAGAATTTATTGTAGGTATTAATGAAATTAGAAGAAAATGATTTTTTATTTCAAAAATTCAAATTCAAGTAAAACATTGAAAAATCACTAAAATTGTTTTTTTTTTGTAACATTCCCGTTAAAGTAATATAAATACAGACTTAACAAAATCATTTCAAATTGTTTGAATTATTGAATGATAATAGTATTTCCATCAATATTCTAACACTTCTTTAATATATAATATATAATAACTGAACTAAACATTATATTTTCAACGACATCGTATATATAAACACAAAATTATTTGCCATTTAACAAGAGGCAATAATTGTAATACTTTGTATAATACATTTAATTGGACTGTGTGACTTTCAACGTCCACGACTGTACCTTACACAGACCTTCAGTTAAACTCTCACTCATTATTCAAATTTTTTACATTTTTTTTACAGCAAAGAATACGACTGATTGGAGGTTACGGGTGCTCAGACCTTGATTGCTGGTCATGAGATTTAAGGTCACATCCTACAAACGTCAGGAAATGTACTTGAAAGTACATACATCCTCGACATTTCTTCCTTTCACCGAATGTTTCATTATTTTGAGAGTTTCCATACCTGCATAAAATTCAGACATTTGTCACAACTTCGTTAAATTTCACGGGCTAAAACACACGGTATATTTTATGCGCAAATAGATTCTACTTTTAATTCTTAATAATACAATTCTATAATTACAAAAATTCGATAATTATAGAAGTTGTGATACTTCGTTTGAATAAGTATGATTCATTATTTGCCATGGAACGCAATGCAATAATGCTGATAATAATAAAGTACACAATTCATTATACATATACAATAGGGTGGGACGAAATATAGGGGCAAGGTTTTTTGTTATTATTCATGACGTCTACATAATAGTGAGAAATGGTTGCCATTTATAATGATATTGAAGCTGTTAAAATCTGAACTCGATTAACAAATTTTTTGAGCTGCCCGCAAGCCACTCAATTATTATTTTTATTGATTTTATGAGTTTATCGTGATTTTTGATTAATCTATAGTAATTTATTTTTTATTTGAACCAGATAATTTCTCTTATTACGTATAGAAAATTATAAATGAAAGGGATTTGGGAGTACACTAACGAAAATTATCATATCACACGATTTCTTTATTTTCTCATTTATGTATATTGTAAAAATCAATAACTTACGTATTCTTTACAAAATTTTAGTTGTCTCCTTATATTAACTGAATTTTAACTAAAAATACAAAAGGAAACATCATTTTTGACCTAAAGAGTATTAAAAATTAAAAATACAAAACATTAAAAATATGTTTAAAAAAATAAAAAATTAAAACTTTAAAGATACTTCGAAATTTTGTTTACAGAAACTAGCTGTTGCAGACTTAATCTGGAAAGTTAAAGGCAAGTTGGTTTCACTATTAGGAAACACACACACAATACTAATTTTGTCGTTCCACCCTAATATGCAATACTTTTGGAACATTTTTTACGTAACAGTCTATACCTATTTATAATATTGCGTTAACAATGAAATATAAATAATTTCTTCCAAAGACAATGGCAATTTACTATATTAATACTTACAAGTAATAATTAAATTAATTCTTAAAGTTAATTATTAAAGTAATACGTAATAGTCGTATAACTTTGAAGATTAATAATAATCACTAAATTTAGTTCGAAGGTTCATAACTCGAAATAAGTTTAAAAAAGGCAAATGGAAATTGTTTTTGTGTCAACCTGATATAATATTGTTTTCTTTACAATATAATAATAAGTATTATACTATAATATTGTTTCGATATACGTATCTGCCTGACGGTAATGCAACTATTAGTATTTTACTGGTTTAAGGAATTTTTCCTTTTCATCGTATCGATAATTATCACAAATAAAAGTATCGACATCAGTGCACCTTCTGTGCGTTATCTAGGCATAATGCCATCTTGTCTTCCAGTCATGTGGAAGTACCTTGAATTGACGTTTGTAAATATATATGGCGCTTCCTCGTTCGGACACAGAACTGTTTCGAATATTTCAGGCAGTCCGTGGTTCGTTTTGTTTCCAACTGGTTCAAGCATATTGTTCCATAAAAGATTCGCCCCTAAAAAAATTTGAAAAAGTAAAATCACAGAATAACATCTCATCAATTAATAATGATTGATTTTATAAGAAACACTAAATAAAAGTTATATAATAATTCAAGGAACTAACATTGTTCAGTAAATCCATATACATTCGTATTACAGTTTTTTTTGTATATTAATACATTGCGAATGTCCAGGAAAATTCATGTTCTATACAAATCTAAGTACATATACATATAATGATCCACAGATACGAAATTAAATAGACATGCCTTTCCTCTTTAATGTGTAACAAATTAATAATAAAATACAAAACATTATTCAGTATTAAAATTATTATTTCATGCTTTACACATACATATCTTATGTAAATGCATAAAACTCGCAGCACAGATTCAGGATATGTTAAATACAGACCACTCACGCGAAGTGGGACCTTGTTTCTGATAGAATGCAGTTTTAACGCCTGACGATATGCAGCCCATTGTACACGTATGTATAAAAATCTTATACAAAGATAGCTGCATGGCCTCGTCTGTTATTCTTACCCTGATAATTGAGCCGTTTTTTAAAAAGTGGTATAGGGCCACTTTTATTTACTTGGAGCAATTTTAGATTTCGCAATTTACCCTCTTTAAAAATAATATTAAACACTAATAAGCTTGTTTCGTTCTTTTAATATCTGGACACGTTTAATTTTATTATATGACCATTCTTATAAATACTCTCCTAATAAAACAGTGTTTTTGTTAACCGTGAATGGACTTACATTACTTTCAAAAATAATAAAGTGACAAGACACGTGACCAATACCGAAATCAAATTTATAGTTCAATTCAAGTATACTTGTCTGAAATGTAATTCTAAAATATACAAAATAATAATTATAATAAAAACATGTTATTGAATGTACAAATATATTCATTCGATATACATTTTTGAGAATTTTATTATACATATTTTAATAGAAGAACAATCTGAAGGAAATGAAAGTACAATCGTAACGATAAACAATATTAATAACTATTAATCATAGTTTATTCATTTTGCTTTGCAGAAACTGTCAAATAAATTGAGTCATTGTTACAAATGGAACTAAAAAAAGTGTAATTGCATTTTTCAGATGCATCGATGTATAAGAAGTGCATAAAACTGATATAGGAATAAGTAGTGTGATATTATTTTTCATTTTTATTTTTGCGACAAATCACTCACATATATCCTACAAAAAATCATTGATCTTGAACTCATCATACCTCAGACATACCCGAGTCCTGAGTACCTATGTTCATTTTTTTGAAGAAATATTTTTAAATATTGATATTTATAATTACCGTTTTGTGGACTTCACAACCAATTATTTTTATCTATACAATCTAATTTTAAGCTATGATTCTGTCCACCAAATCGCCATCTTTCTGCCACAACTTTGTCTTCGAAAAAACAATGATCAACGGAATAAGCAATAAAAACATTACTGACAGCATGTTTGCATGTTTGAGTGAATAAATCAATTGTTTCATGTAAGACAGGTTGAATCTGCCGCCCATTAACAGTAGATTCTTCAACAGTCACCTCATATATATTTCATCAAATACTACTTTAAACTTTCATCTCTGCACGTGGGGTTTAATAGACCCCAGCCATCTTTAAACGTTCCGAATATTGTTTCCATCGTGCGAATTTTGTGCTTTCGCATAATTGAGTTTATGTTGTTAAGTTATAAGCATTGAGATGATTCTAATTTTCGTTAATTAGAAAGTACTATTTTATGTTAAGTCTTGTTTTCAGAATTTAAAAATGAAAATAATATATTACGTTTTATTTTTAATTTAGGAAACATAACTGTATATATCGATTATAACAGACGTCCACAATAATAATAATATAGCTTATAGACGTTTTTCATGTATAGTGTGACAAATCCCACGTGGCTGATCATGTGATTGTAAGGCACGTGACTAATCAAAGGTTAATAAGATGCTGGATGTCGACTGATAATTTTGTATTGTTATTTTTCCGCATAACATTTCCTGTCTACGTACAACATGCGAAATGAAATTGTTCATCAGTTTTTATCGCACATTTTGTTTGACGAACAAATGTCAGGTGACGTGTGTAGAATGATTGCTCTATTACAGACCCTTTTAATTTTATCTAGTTTTATTACGAAACGACAAGCAAATTATCTGTATTTCTCGTTAATTTACTAATGATAAATAGATGGCGGATATTTATGCAAAATGCTGATTTCATGTTTCGTATTAAACAGAAGGTAAAAGTTGATATCATTATTTAAGGTGTCTATTTATTTAAAAAAAATGAAGTATAAATATTATCAGTCTTCACTGAAATTTGTAAATTATTTGATTTTGTACATTTGTGTACGGTAAAAATATGTAAAATCTACAAACAATTGTAAATATTCCATACAAAATAAATGTATGCAATTTGGTTAAAAAGACGCTACATATACGGTTAAATATAGATAGTATTCGGATGTATAATTTATATTATTATTATTGTTAATTATTTTCTTACCCAATGCGTGGCCCTTTTGGCTAAAGTGAAAGCAATCGTATGTGACCAAGTTGGGGTCGATTGGCGATGCTCTATTTGGATCCGCGTTTGGAGCATTAAACAATTTAATAAATGGTTGCAGGACCACTGTAAAATCTGCCGATTTGTCGTATCTGAAATATTGATACCATGTTTTCTCTCGTAATTAAAAATGAGACTATTAACTATTTCAAATGAAATTCTTATATGTATATCATATTTCTGTGTTCATGGTTCGCAAAAGAAGTTTTGCATTTACTGTAATTTCAGCAGGTCACAGGCCGAAGTGATTAACTTCATTTTTTGAATTTTTTTCAAATTTGAATGCCAAAGCACTTGATTGGTGCTTAACTTTTTATATTTTCTATTTTTCTATTTTTGTGGATTTAATCACTTGGGCAAATGGATGAATCATTTAACACGTATCATACCTTCCTGAATGTATCAGGCTTTCCACTGCTTGTTGATAAAGATGCGACATTTTGGAGGCTGTATTGCTCGGCTGACTGCCCTTGTGCATGCAAGCACAGTAGAGGGGATGCAAAATGTTGCACATGGCGCTTCGAGGCACTCTTATGGAGACTGTAACATCTGAACAAAAAATAACGATACTTCATATGTTTCATCACTATATGTACTTTTATAAATAATCTTATTTACTCAGATGTTTTACAATTTTTTAAATGTTTATTTTATAATTCGTGTTCTGCATACTGTGTTTATACTCTGTCACGTATACTGAAGAATGTTATAAAAACTATTTTACACTATGAATTATAAATATGTTTACAAGCACATAAAGTATATTGTTCATTTGTGTTAAAGATAGATTCCGTAACAATAAAATCATATAACATTTTTGATACTGAAGTAGTTTCCAAACAAAGAAAGTATAATTTCGTATTGAAAATTGATATTTTTCAAATTTTAATTCACAAGAATAAATTCAACATAATATGAAGTGTATAAAACGACGAAAGAAGTGTAATGAAATTTGAAAACTTATAACCGACCCCCGTGGTTCCGTATTAGAACAATAATGAACATATTTTATTAATTGATTTTAGTTCTTGTATACGAATTTCATAGTTAGTAAATAAAATAAAATTACAAGTTCTAACTAGAAAGAAGCTCGTTTATTGTTATGAATTAATCGATATTAAAAATTTGCTTAAGTCGATCGCAAGGAGTTAAATTGTGAAAAAATTGTGACACTCTTTAATTAATTACCTATAACTGGCACAAGGTTAACTAGTGTACGAGGTAGAGCGATTTTTAAAAAGTCCAATGCCCTTCGTATATGAAGAGCGTAACGAACCGGTGAAAACTTTGCAGGACTGTAGCACTGCGCAGAGCATATGTCGTTCGCACCGAAAAAGATAGTGATGAGCTGAAAAATGTAAAAATATTTTGCTCAATTTATTCTTCGACGAACATACGTGAATTAGTAAATTAGTAATAGTCGCCAAAGTAAGTACGATACAGTGAAAAGCTATATTTTTTCTTGTACATACGATAGGTTCCAGATTTTAAATTAATTAAATAAACATTAAGTCTGTTCTGATTTCTATTCAAATATTGCAAAATAAGTTTTTACATATAAATAATATATAATAATTCATTAAATACTAATAATCCATGAAATCTGATCTTGATTTTTAATTGAATGTGGCAACACGTTTTTAATCCATTTTTATTACTACAAGCTTTTGTACACGACAGCTTGTACAGAATTAAGCTAACATTTGTTAAAATCTAAATATGTTTAATTCAGGATACCTTCCATTGTCGTTTAACGTCGACTTTAGGATCGCTTTTGATCCGTTGGACGAGAATTCGAGCCTGCTGCAATGCGTCTTCTGTAGCTGCGACTGGAAAGGCGATATTTAGTTTCGCCTTCGTAGAAATAAATTCTCCTGTACCCGTCGAATACCCGGTTAAGTTGGGATTGAATACCTGTTGCAACAATCCAAAATAATAGTTTTAAATGATTCTGTAGGTTCTTGAAATAGAAGTAAAAGTACCTAATTAGCATTTTATAAGTCACGTAAATATCGTAAAAAAGATATTAATAATGAGATTAGTACGGGTATTTGTTTTTTTTTTAAAAAAAAGTTTCATGGTAAAAAAACTTATGAGCTGTAACATGCACCTCGAATTGTTTCGCGATGGCTACAATATCCCATAAAGTAATTGATCTACTGACATGAAATTTTATATACAAAAATGTACCATTTTTTAAATGCCAAAATTATAAAATATTACTTTGGAAAAACGAACTAAAGATAGAAATGAGCTAAAATTTGTTACGAAGCCATTTGTTACGAATGATCATTGCGTGGGTTACAAAAACAAGTTTATGGATTATAAGCGACACTAAACTTGACATGCACAATCCTTCAGGAGTGTTATTGTTGTGACAGTCATGAAAAAAATCAAGACTTACTCATCAGTTTATATCTTTTTTAACCCTCCGTGACCCCCTTAGGTCTTTTATGGCACAAGCGCGCTCAAGTATCTCCGAAACGAAAGGACTGTTATTAAAAAAACCTTTTAACATTCAATTTTTAAAATTATTGAACTCAGGAAAGTATCCCTGATTGGTTGCAGATATTTGGAAGCCTATAAGATAAAAATAATAGGTCTGGACATAAAAGACCCAGTGGCATAACGGAAGCAATAAAAGTAACGGGGGTCACGGAGGGTTACTATTAAATTTTTACACATAATTACCGAAGCCAAAAAATGTATGAGTCAATTGAAGGTTACAGCTTAACGGATATTTTGACTTTTCAGAAACAAAGTCACAAATATCACCTATATTTGATCCCACAAAGAGATCCTCTTAACACTAAAACTACCAAAGCAGTCAGAATGACTGGTTCGTAAACTCTTATAAAAATAATTAAAATGTCATAACAGTGTATTTTATGAGATTCTTCTCCAGTTTTACCGTAATATATAATCGAAGAAATTAGTCAATTTACCGATTTGCGTATTTTCAATACACTGTCCCTTTTACCAACGTGATATACATAGAAATACGTTCCCCTTCCGTAGTTCTAGAGTTAAAAAAATGGTACTCTGTGAATTAAAGTTTAGAAACGAGTTCGTCTAACAAGGAAATAATTAATGTCGAACGGTAAGACGAGCATGTTACGGTCGTTAAGTCATATTATTTCGCTTAAGTTGATTCGACGAAGGCCACACGTTTAATACACTTAGTACCTTCAGTAGATTAGGAACGGTTAAGAACCGTCTCCAATCACCTTGACCACCTACACACCAGCTAACTCCGCGAGCTTCTATGAATGTTCCAATTGCGAATTCTTCTAAAGCTCCGCTTCCGGCGACCAACGAATCGCCTAGACCGCCGACAACATCTATGTCGCCAGGTCTCAACTGATGCACGCTCTCAGGGGCAGACAGAGATCTGAAAACAAAAATCAGTATCGTTCAATTTGTTTTGGAAACTATAACATTGAACTATTGAACTTGTAGCACGGACTTGGATCAGAGATGAAACACAAGATAGATATAACATCATTATTTATTCGTCTACACAGGGTGTTCCGCTTAAAACAAACCACCAAAATATCTTCTCTATCTGTTATCATACGAGAAATGTTTTTTACGTAATTTCAATGGTTTCAAGAGACGAACCAGATGGGGGAAAAATTATATAAGTGAGTTTAAAATTTTTAAAGTACATTTTGTATAAGTTTAAAATTTTTAGAGTTCAAGGTCATTTCAAGGTCGTACTATTATAGATGGATAAATGCATGACAATGTTTACTATAACATACAGCACGCCATCCGATTCGTCTCATGAAATCATTTAAATTACGTAAAAAATATTTCTCATGGAGAAGATATTTTTATATACATCCTGTATATTTGTGTTGAAAAAGCACGAGAAACTTTGTCGAGTAATACAGGGTAGACCATTTAAATGGGATCATCGAGATATCTCCGTTATTTATGATCTTATGAAAAATAGGTCGAAGTTACACGATTTAAAACTGCATATCGGCATATGTAATGATGGAAAAAAATTTGTTCTCGAGGTCATTTTGTCATGTGACTTTCAGGTCGTCGCTTTTTTTTTAAACGAAACGACGTACTTTTTCTCATATTCTTACAGAAGAAGGAAAAATGAAAAATTTAATCATCTCGACAATGTATTGTTTTGTCTATCTGAGTTCAGGATGTTCACATTTTTAATTTGTACTGAAGCAATAATGCAGACTCTTAATGTCTTATTAATGTGCATTTTCTATTTCCGTAATTGAAGCACATGCTGCAGTACGATCTTGCCTCATAATAAACATACGCTTGAGTAGGAATTCATGAATGGTAGAAGGTAGACGCATGTTAGATATGGGGTGTCAACTCAATAACACAGGTAGGATAAGTGTCAATGCAATAAAAGTAATGTACGAGGAATGTTCAATAAAGAACATGACATAATGTTGTCAATAATTTATTATCAAAGTTTACACATTCAATCATGTGTCTCCTTCAAAATACTCCCCAGTCAATGCAATGCACTTGTCGAATGCAACGCATTGCGAATGATCTCACAATCTTTTAAGCTTATAGTGTAGGGTGTGGTTTATGTGTATTACGAATTCGAGAAAATATACGTACACAGAATATTATATTAATTTACACCACGAAAGTAGTTAACTCTAATAAAATTTAAACATCAAATTGATCTTAAACTGATATTTGATATTCCAATCTGCACTTTTGTAAACACCGAAATTTCCATACCAGGTAAACTGAACTTTTATTACACTTCTATTCGCTAGCTCAGTTGTCAACTTTTTATAAGTTATTTACTGAAAATGACAGATTAATGTTGCTTTATCCAACCTCTACTCTCCGAATTCCATCTCCGTTGCTACTCTTGGAAGACGTGTAAAAAGACATCCTTTGACAATCGCTTTAGAATCACCTCTAAAGCTTTCACTGTGATTAAGGCCATGGTCATCACCTTCTTCGATTACAAGGGGATGGTGTACACTCAGACATACTACAGTCACCGCCGAGTATTATAAAAACGTTCGGGGTCAGTTAATGAAGGACCACACACCGAAAAAAAAGAAGGGAACTTGTTGGAAAGTGGAAGCTCCATCAGTACAACGCCAGGCCTTATGTCTCTCAAGACAAGTAACCGAGTTTCTTACCAAAAATGGCATCTTCACGGAATCTCACCCGCTTTACAGCCCTGACCTGGCCCCTTGCGATTTCTTTCTTCACTCGACGGCCAAAAAGGACCTTAACCCCTTGCCTTATAACATTCAAGCAGACTCGTAGCGGCGATATCAAAATGGATTCAACAAACATAAATATTATTCGTTTTCTTGGAGTTAAAGAGAAATACTAGTTTGATGATATTAATATTTGACGTGTAGAGTAAATGTAGAATAAGGATAAGTGCAAGAATTCCTTTTGTTTCTGGGAAACTGTCGACGATAAAGTAATTCATGAAACTGCAGACATCAAGAAAATCATAGGGCACGGGTTAAAGGACGCTGATTTGACAATGAAATTCAGACCGTGAAAGCTTCAGAGGCGATTCGGAAGCGATTGTCAAAGGATGGTTTTTTGCACGTCGTCCAGGAATGACAACGGAGATGGGATAAGTGCATTGCACCGGTTGGGAAGTATTTTGAAGGAAACAAAAGTTTGAATGTGTAAAATTTCGTAATAAATTATTGACAGCATTAGTACCAATCTTTATTAAATATCCCTCGTATATTGTTACGAAAATTGTCCGAAAACCCAGTAGAAAGTCAAGGTTAAAAAAAATTAAGGTCTGATTTTTATAAACGCACCATTTTACACCAAATCGATCACTGTTTTAATACAACATTAGGGACTTTCATGGAATACAAATATGATGTAATTGGAATAAAATTAAGGTCGGGTTAAGTAATCATTTTCTCAGTCCCTAATTTCTTTGAAAAGTACACGTCATGTACTTTTCAAAGAAATTCAAAGAATTTCAAGAAAATTTACAATGGCAGCAATATATTATTTAAATTCTCACATACCTTCCGAATGTTACGTTGCAAGGGAATGGAAAATGATCTGGAACTTGTGGTTGATTCCTTATTCCACTGTACATTATTGGATAATTGATCCCCTTTGTGTCAATCTCATCCTAAAATAATAATACCTCGTTTTATCATTTATAAACGACCTAGATTATAAATAAATCTTTGTTTAAGTAAATTGAAAATTGTGTTATGCTTTATAAATAATTATTTAATACATTTGATAATCAGTTAGTAACGCTTATTATATGTCTACGAGCGTAGAATATACTACTGTGGATTTTTATTCTATCTATGTATATACACTAGTATCTACTATAGGTGTAACAATTAATATTCTTATACAGGGTGAACCGTGTAACTTGTACAGCGCTATTATTTTCATTATTAGTGTACTAACTGTCAACTTAAACAATTATTCATACATCTCAGAAATTATTACTTTAGCCAGTCATATACAGCTATGCATAGAAGCATCTGCCCTCTCCATACATACAGTATATTTGAAAGATTTAATTAATATTACAGTTAAAATTAACAATTATAATTTATATTAGTATAAACATTGATTAATATTCTTTAAGATGCATTCAACTGAGACATTATGTGCAGTTTATTATTAAAAGTATTATTATTTTTTAAAATAGCAAAAAACGCCTTTACTAAGTTTCACAAAAATCTAGTTTAATCTATATATCTATAACAAAATAATACTTTCGCAGCCGTCGACGTAGTTTTATAGAATTACCTTAAAATATGTAATCACTTACCACCAGGACGTGGTTTTACGTCATTTTAAAATCTATAATCAGTTGCGGTTGACGCAGTTCTATGTCATTTTAAAATTTATAACTGGTTGCTATTTTATATTTATAGAGAAGCAAGTGACTTTATAATTTGTATTTATGATTGCAGCAGCTATCTAATAATAAATTGATTTCAATATCATTAAAATCAGCATTTAAACGGAGTTAAGAATAGTTTTAATTCGAAATCAAAGAATTTTGTTTACGTGTACTTTAGCACAAAATACAGAAAGCTTAGAAAAATACGTTGCTCTTCTCTCGTTTCCAAAGTATGTATAGGTGACACATCCTTATTCATTTCCCAGTCCTATAGGATTCTTTTAAGTAAGGGCAAACATACAATAAATTATTGTGCAAAAAAAGAGTATTACTTTTATTTTTTCTGTGTATGTAGTTCATTATTTTGTTAAAAATATATTCAAATGTGTTTGGATTTGTATAATATAATATATATGGATTTTTTATAATATAGGTACACATAAATTTCGTTGAATGCACCATTATGTTTCAGTAATCATAAAGTAAAGAAAAAACAAAGTTTGGTAGGTTTAGTGTTAAAGTAACATTTTCCTACACAACATTATTTTGTATTGCGGAGATTTAAGGTTCTTCTTGAAAATCATGAAACTTTCAAAGCCTGTCTTTTTCCGGTATCGGCGATACCACGTCCGGTACACCAGCGTGTTTCGTCACGATTTCATCCTTTATCGAACGCCGATGAACACGATTTTAGCACACGACGCACGTCGCGTCGTCGCTTTTGCTTTCTTTCATTTACATTCTATGATGCCCTGGCTTAAATGCCATCAGGTATAAATAAATAAATAGTGTACTCACGCAACCATGCAACAAATATTCGCTTCGAAATAATATTAACATCACCAGTAGGATTTCAGATTACATCGAATTATAAATTTTGTTGTTAGTTTCGATTTCTTATATCACACGTACAAGGTTTTCTTGAAACTATATACAGTGGGTAAAAAAAGGATTCGCACACCTTTTAAAACAGTTTACTTTTAAGACAGATGATATAGTATTTGACGAAGGTACCTTACGTACTTCATTCCATGGTATTGTAAGTGTTTATTTTATTTTCTTTGTAACATCGTTGTCAATTTAATGTAAAATATTATATTTAATATATTAATATTTACCGAATCATTGCGGATACATAGAAATGATACTGAGTCATGCATTAAAAAAATTGTTTAAATTGCATTCAATGAAAGTTTTTGTTTCTCTTTGCACGATGCATAACCATGGTTAATTGTATACGAATTATCTGTCTACTATTGCTCCTGTAAAATCCGAACTATACAATACGGCTGACGATTAAAAGGTTACAATATTCAACTGCGTACAACTACAAACTAAAAATAATAGGATCGGTATTTGTTTGGACTTATGATGGTGATATTTACTGTCTACTTCAGAGTTTTCATTTTAGAAGAAATACGATTTTTCATATTAAAATTTTATTCAAATACTGCATAGGCTTTTCCTTGGCTCTATACGTTTTTCTCGAAGTATTTTGGATTTTTTGAAATTTTTATGTAAATATTTGAAATTGATTAGTCTAATGATAAATTATTTTACTAGATTACATATAGGTTTCAAATAATTTTATATTAACTCCTTCTGTGAAACAAATGAATTTTTTTTCTAAATAATATTTTTATTTTTAATAATTGTTTGTCTTATTATATTGATTCTATTACTTTCTAAAACTAATTCTTCGAATAACTCCAGAAAATATTATTTATACGGTGACTACCAGACTTCCATACATATAAATTGTTTCATTGTAGAAAGAAGTATTTCCGGTGTTTTTGATACGATTTTCAGTGTTATAAGATCAAATTGAACTTCATTATCTATTGAATTCTATGGCATTATTTGAAGGAGTCAAATTAAATGAAATGTTACTAAGAAATCATTTATTTTGTGCAAGTTTATAATGATGGTATGTGCCCTGGCTATTTTTGTTGTATAAATGTCAATGCATTTGAAAGAATTCAGTAATTGTGATGTTACCTTGATTTTTTATGTTAGATAATTTATATCTCGTCCTAACTGTGTGTTTAGCCTGCCAAATTGACCGTTCATATAATTTTTTTTTAAAGTATTTAAGCAAAGGATTACGTCCCATTAAATTTTCTTCAAATGCATCTGGTCTTTTCAAGTCATGTACAAGGAAGAATACAAAAATTCGAGATTAAATTTTTTCGGTGTTTTGCTATTACATAGTTAACCCAGACTATCGATGCGCGTCTGTCAAAATGGGGCAACCGTTTGATCGAAGTCAGACCGAGGTCAGCCATTTTTTCGTGTCGACAGTCAAACGAAAAGAAAAGTTCTGGCCTTTCTCCAATTGTTCGGTATGCAAAGCACTTTTCCTTTCGACCGTCTAGTCGTCCTTCCGGTTTGACATAACACGGACAGTAATGTTACGTTAACGTGTCACGTTCCGTCTTATTATCAATTAGATCGATCGAAACAGTACTATAAAGCTTATCACGTTCAACAGTTGTTTAATGAATTACGCGAAAATTGATGCTGTCAAAACAGAGAATATTTGTGCAATTCTTTTTCATGACCTCCTGAATGATATTTCAAAAACAGACTTCCAACGTGCATTTCCATATGTATCTAAACGTTCCACATTGTGTGTGAACAAAGGAAAGATGTTTCTTAAGAATGAATATTAATAAAATTTCTTACACTCTCGTTGATTGCGAATGATCTCACAATCTTTTAAGCTTATAGTGTAGCGTGTGGTTTATGTGTGTTGCGAATTCGACAAAATATACATACACAGAATGTTATATTAATTAACACCACGAACCTAGTTAACTCTAATAAAATTTAAACATCAAATTAATCTTAAACTGATATGTGATACTCCAATCTGTACTTTTGTAAACGTCGAAATTTACTTACTAGCTAAACTTTACTTTAATTACACTTCTATTCGCTAACTCAGATGTCAACTTTTTATAAGCTACTTGTTGAAAATGACAGATTAATGCTCTGTTGCTTTATCTAATCTCTATTTTACAGTCTTAAAATACATCATCAATTTATACGCACAAATGACACAAGAAACAAACTCAGTATGTAACCCGAAAACAACATAATGACATTCATTGTTTTACCCTGTTCGCTACCTTACCCGCACCGCCCTTACACGTAAAACAGTTCAAATTCCCACAGCTCGCTATTTCCAACGAATTTCTGCACAAGTTAATTGATTGTTGTAACATGTGTTTTAAGTATAAACTACTAATATATATTGTATCATTAAGATACAACCAATCCATTGGTATCTCATACGGCGTTTACAACACTAAGGCATGATGGGGGGATACAAAAGGGGGGTAATTCTGAACACAGTGATATTGATTTGTTCCACGCATTGTCTATACATGATTTTCCGTCATTACTGTTTTTTCGGCACTAAATATGGTCAAAACAATCGAGAAAACATGGCATGGGCAAGGGGGGGGGGGGGAGTGAGTGAATATCAATATTTGCAGGATTACCCTGCGTCCCTATTTCTCCCATCGTTCCCTACAGAATAAGATTCCAGTAACAAAACTAGATATAGAAATGTTTATGTAGGTGAAAGTGGTCCACACCACTGAACCCATGTTCAGGTGGACCCAGATATCGTCATCTGTACTATTATCGAATTAATTACTATCGAAAGGATTTTTGTATCATCAAAAGAAGAGTAGAAGCTGATTTGAATGAATTATGTCCTTGAAAAGAAATTTAATATTTACTCAAATCATCGGAATAGATATTATCTTACTAATTGTAAGTTAACTTTATCCCGCAGATTTATTAAATTTGTTTGTTAATGCAACAGTAATACCTGGCAAACATTAATGATTCATTAGAAAAAGAAACGGTTTTCTCAATGGAAGATTTAAAGGTTAAGGAATTATAAACCATTCGGTTAACGGCACCGGAATCAACTGTCGAATCACGTTCAGTTCTTCGCATAGTTTCATTCCTCGCATGCTAAACCATTTTTTTTTCACCAACGATCTCTACGGGCAACTTTTCTATTCGTCAGCCGGGTTACCAAATTAGCTGACGATGATGAATTCGATTCGTCGGTGCATTAACTTTCACTTGCGTCGGAACATTCATAACCAAAAATGTAAACGGAAACTATAGTGATCATAATTGAAAGCTGCATAACAGAAAGAAACTTTTTTGAAAAATTAAAAAATTTAGTTATCTTTACTAGTATGTTATTATTAGGTATTAACGAATTTAATTACCTATCGCCGATGGTTCGAAATAATTACTAATTTCATCGGTAGTAATTTCAGAAGAAGCTTGAACCATATATTTTACTAGATTGAAACTTTTTGATTGACTTTCTAGATTAACCTATAAGTAATGTATAGACTGCTGTATACAGGGTGTTAATAAAAATGTGAGGCACATTCACAGGGTGGATTCTACACGCCAAACTAACAAGGACACTCAAACGTAACACTCAATTTTAATTGCCGTTTGGTACAGAGATAGTACTTCGAAAAATATCTGACAAGTAATTTTTTGTAGTTGCTGACAATCGTAACTAGTAGGTGAAAACAGCCCTTAAAGTTGTGGTTGAAAAATACATGTTTCTTAATATCTCGCAAACTGTTCGACTTAAAAAAAATATTTGCTTACAAAAATTGTGTGTCTTTTAATAATACAAATAACTGCTAAAGTAGTTTTTCGAAACATGAAAACAAAAAAATTATTCTTTAAACAAATTGGTATTTTGAAAAATTACTTGTGCAGTTACTGTTATAATTTAGAAACTCAGAATTTTTGTTAACAAAAATCTTCTCCAAATCGAATAGTTATATTAAGGAAAATGTATTTCTCGCCCACGACTGAGAGCTGTTTTCATCCACTGGATGTAAATGACAGCAGCTACACAAAAATACGTATCCAATATTTTTCAAAATACTATCTCTGTGCCACACGGAATTAAAATCGACGTGTTACACTTGAGTGATGTCCCTTGTAAGACGAAACTTAAGAATGACGAAATTGCGTTCGATGCTTCGTTTATAAGTTATTAATTGTTAAAAATACAAGCAAAATACACGTGAAATATGTCTGGTGCGGTGGGTTATACTACTTACAACAGTCGATACCCAGTTGATACACGGGATCGATTAATGATCTAATTAAATTTAGAATTAAATACAATCAACAAACTGTGTTTCTTTGCTCGAAATTTCTTATGTTAATAATACGAAATGCGTTAATAATCTCCTTATACATCTATATACAATATAGTTGTACTGTAAAAGTTGCAATAATTTCAACATTGCCTGCACCATAAATTGTTCTGAAAGTAGTTGTATTATACTTAATAGAGTTTTTAAAAATAGCTTTATTGATAATAATACCGAAGAAAAAAAGGTTTAAAAAATTCATCAATGAATCTCTTAAATTATAACTTTTAAGTTATATTGTTAAATAATGTATTGCTTTGTGGATCAGTAATTTTTTAAGTTATAATCAAAGGTATTATTCAGGTTGTGTTTTCAAGACTTATTGGGCACAGTGCACATACAGTGGCGAACAAAAGTATTGGCACAGGAGGTATTTCTATACATAATGTTAAATAAATATGAAAAGAACGCAGTTTCTTGTTTAATTCTTTTTTCAAATATAAGTCTGGAGTCCGAAGTTCAAATATATTACAAGTCATAAAAGTTAAATAGACCTGTAACAAAGAAAAAAAATAAAAAACCACATCGTGGCTCGTTTTCAGCGGAACAAAAGTATTGGCACACCTACGTTTTTTTAATATAATTTATTATATTGTAAGATCTAATATTTGGTATTTAAACCTTTTCTTCTAATAACTTCTTTTAATCGATTAGGCATTGAATTCACTAATTTTTTCGTTATCTCTGGGCCTATTTTATGTCATTCTTCTAAAATTGCTTGTTTGAACTGTTGTTTATTCACAATATGGGGTTTTTTTAAACTTCGAGCTAATTCGTTCCAAATATGCTCGATAGGAGTTAAATCCAGTGACTGTGGTGGAGTGGGTAACTTATGAGGTGTGCTGAAAACTATCCATTGTCGAACAATATAGGCGGTGTGCTTAGAGTCATGATTTTGTTGGATGTAATAGTCGTTTCCGAGATATAATTTATTCACGCTTTTCTTAAGATTCTGTTTTAAAATGTTTAAATAAACATATTTATCCATTATAGTATCAATAAACACAAGCTCTCCTAGGCCAGAAGAGCTCATGCATCCACATACTAGCACACCGCCACCCCCATGTTTGACCGTTTTACTGGTGTGCCTTTCATTTAATTCTGTGTTACACTGCCGCCATGCTTTAACTTGCCCATCCGATTGATAAATATTAAATTTGTTTTCATCCGAAAATAAAATTTTGTCCCAAAAGTTTAAATCTTTATTTACATACATTTTTGAATATTCTAATCGTTTTATTCTGTTCGTCTTACTAATGAGCGGTTTCTTTCTTGCGATTCTTGAATTATATCCGGCAGCTCTAAGAGTTCTACGGATAGTTATCGGATGAACTTTTACATTATTTTCATTTTCTAATTGTGCTGCTACTTCTGAAGAGGTAGTAGTAGGATTCTTCTTTATTGTGTTAATAATTTTTCTCTTCTCTCTAACGGTCAATGTTTGTAGCCGGCCACTTCTATCAGAATTTCTTAAATTTTCCGTGTTAGAAAATCGTTTAACGACACTTCTTATCGTAAAACGACTTCTATTTACTATTTTTGCAATAGCTGAGTAAGACTTTCCTTCTTTTGATAAATTCAATATTATTTTCCTTTCAGAAATTGTTGTCTCCTGCGATTTGCGACCCATTTTTGTGCGTTTTTGTTTTTACAACAATACTGGCAACAATTTATGATAAATGAACATCAAACTGAATCGTGGAACATTCGCGGGCATGACAGTCGTACAAACATTCGAAATATTTATTTCAAAATTCCCTAGAGACATGAAATTTTTATGTGTGCCAATACTTCTGTTCCGCTGCAAACGAGCCATGATATGATTTTTATTTTTTTTCTTTGTTATAGGTCTATTTAACTTTTATGACTTGTAATATATTTGAACTTCGGACTCCAGACTTATATTTGAAAAAAGGATTAAACAAGACATTGCGTTCATTTCATATTTATTTAACATTATGTATAGAAATACCTCCTGTGCCAATACTTTTGTTCGCCACTGTATGTATTGTTTTACTTTCTTTTAATTATGAAATTGTTTGTTTATTTCAATGGCAATATCTTTCAACCTCATAATCGAAAGCCTAATACTCTCTATTTAGCGATATTCCTCCATAAAAGCATATTATTAACTATTGCAGATTATAAATAAATTATTATTATTTAGTAATTGTTCTTTAACAAAAGTTTCGTACTACAATTATATCCCGTAGTAAGCTATACAACTGAGGAGAAGGTAATTCTGCATACCAAAACAAATTGAAAATGTAGAATACATTATATTTTCTGGTGTTTTGTTTTCGAGGAAATCTATTTTGATTTATACGTCTATTTATTTTCTAATAGTTATCTTCTTTATGTTTATAAATATTGTGTTTCAAACATGATGGAACACATATCACATTGCACGACCGACTGCGTTTATTCTAACATTAAGTAGAAATGTCGAGTAAAAGGCAGACACATTAGTCACTCATATGCTGATCAAGATGAAATTTTATACTCAATTTTCTCGTAAACAGAGCTCCATATGAAAAACATGTTGTCAAACATATTCAATTTAATTCTGTAGGAAAAATTGTTTCCACTGAAGATCAACTGAAAAGTCTTCCTAATTTGTTTATGTTGATTAGACATTTTTTACTCTTCTTGGTGAGTACTACAAGTCCTTAAAGTCTTACACCCTTTCCTTATCATACTGTGTAGAAAGTATTGTTAAGGATGTAATAAAAACACGTACACAAAAGTATTCAATATCAAGTCAATATTTGTTATAAACAAGATTAAGTGGTTTTTCTGTCCTTTCCACAAACACCGAAACTGCTTTAAATAAACTGTGTATAATGTCTCAAGTGAATGCTTTCCAAAACTAAATATATTTTAATCAACGTCTACACATATTATAAATTATAGTGGTAAATTTCAACTTTAACAAATATGTAAAATGTACCACACGAATGGAATGGGCGCATAATTCTATGAGTAACTGTAAGCCTCCTTACAAAGAATATGCCGTAGTAAAGAGGGTGTTCCGTCGTACAGGTAAATTGCTTCATAGCAGCAGCTATTATTTTATAACAAAACTCCAATTTAGCTATTCAATCTTCCGTAATAATGTACGCGTTTATTTCTTGTCCGTTTCATTTCAATAGCGTACTCTTTTAATCTTTTCGACCCATATACAATAGACGAAGGTTCCAACATTTGGTCACCAGCCGATCCCAGTCGCGTTGTACCACCGAGGGGAAGAACAATATCGCCATAAACTTCTACCGTTGGGTGATTCCCGCAACCTCGGCGCAGTCAAGCCAAACTTGGCCACGTGATTTTAATTATTTGCAGGCGTACGTTTTTTCCCGAAGGAACCTTTTCCTCCACCACGAACCTCGGGAAATCCGAGGTATATCCCTACTCCTTCAGAGTTCAACCAATAGGAATTCGTGTTTTTCGGAAACGTTCTTGACAAAGTTGACAAAGCATATCGCCAACGAGGGTGAAGTGCGACGTCAGAAGCGCGCCCGAACTTTTGTAAATAGCAGACTCAAAGTAAAATTCACCCGGTGAACATCACACATACACGCACACAAACACACAATATTGTAAATACAGTCATTAAAAACCAATCAAAGTGTGCTTTATTTTTGGTTTCACTTCTAAGGATCGTGTAACGGTTCGGCGATTAAGTGCGAGCATTGCGCGACCTAACAGAGGGTTAGAACTTCGAAGTCGATTTAACCCTCAGACTGCACCCCACCTCAGCATACGTAAACATCACACTAGAATGAATTCGGATTTTGAATTTTCTATGACTAAGAACTTGAAAGAATCTAAAATCAAATTGAATTCATAACATATTCTTTAGGGTAACATTTCTTCAGATGTTCAATGGTAATAATTGGAAAAGTGAGAAATACTTTTTTATCGTAATGGAAGGAAACTGTTATGCTGTTATGCTAGTGTGGTGTCTGAGGGTTAACAAATGCAAATTCTTCAAAAATTATAGTAATCCTTACCCAAAAGACTCACCCTTCCCGAATGAAACACGTTCCGTAGCAAGTCAGTGAAACTACTTGTCACAGCTGATGATGATAAAACCGCTATCAGCAAGAAATGCGCCTCTTTCATCCCCATAGTTCTCCGAAACCTCTTCCGCGTCAAATGGGTTCAAGAGCCTCACGATCGAAAAACTTCACTTCCGTAAAACTTTTTTCGGTCGTTAACCAGCCTTTTTTCTCATGCTCCTTAAAGATTTATTATTCCTCGGGATATACATACATCAGCGAAGAAAACTTTCTCCTCTTCTTTCGTATCGATGTCCTCGCGCTTCGAAAAGTTCGAACGTGAGCTTTTTTCACGAGTGTCCCGGATCCTTTCGATTCACCAGATCACTCAACTTATCTGTTCGTGTACACGCAAGTGTATGCGAAATAAATGTCAAACAAAAGTTACGAAATTCACAGAAAAATTTACACTGTTCAAAAGTAAGTTTCGAACGGCGATTATACTTCTTTGGCGTGTATAACTGAATAAAAATATGGATGTTAATTTACACTTTTTAAATTTGTTTTTGGATATAAATCATATAATTCGAACTTAATTTTTACGAAACTATGTATTTTTATCGATGTAATTTTTGGAAACGAGTCCAATAAATTACAGCTCGATATGATTCAAAGTTAATCCAAGTCACGGGATATAATTATCAACGAACCCATCAGATACTGAAAATTAGTTAGACTAGTGTTTCATACCTACTATATGGATTTTCAGTTATCAATTGAGAAGGAAGAAGCGTGACAGAACTGGTGGAATTGAAATTTTTTAACGAATCAATCACAATCAGTTAATCAAATATTACTACAAATTATCTACTTAAGAAAAAACAATGCAATTCTCGTACTTGTTTGAATAAACGTAAAGAAAATTATAACGTTAACAGTACAATTATTAATGAGCACTTTCGAAACAATAGCAGGTTACTAGCTTCCAAAAATATGAGACCAACACATGTAGAAAAGAGATCCGATTTGTCTTTAAATTGTTGTTTTTAATCTTACTTCTTCATAATTAATCCTACATTTTGTGAAGATTAAACGTGCTGTAAAACTCAATAGAAATGCCATGACTTTTGACTTTATGTTCCATGATTCGTACTGAAAACATAGGTCAAAATAATTTACTATTTAGTTATTTTTAGTACGTAACTGTTAACGTTACATAACTATTTTTGAATTGTTTCCTTGGTGCCGAAAATAAAAGATCACCTTGTACGTGATTTACATAACATGTAATTCAAGTATTGGTAGGTCAGTTATCGGATTCAGTATGACCCATAACATTATAAAAACTTTCACAATACTTATTACTAGTTCATAGCATGATTAAAAATTCTTGTAAATGACGTTTTATATAATGGGGAAACTGGAGTATTTTTTCTCTTTAAAATAAAGAAATACGGGTTGAATAAAAGCAATTAAAAATAAATTTTAATTCTGGTGTAAGTTCATTTTTTATAAGCTTCGTACTTTTGCAAAAAGTGTTTGATAAATAAAACCCTTTACGGTCTCATATTTATAAGTTGTATCAATGTCAATTAACAGTTAATGTAATTTTTTTATTTTTGACCACTAATATCCTAAACGAATTTCACTATAAATCTTACATCACGTTTCAAAAAGTAGAAATCTGTGTCAGTTTCTGGTCGTTCTGATATTACCTTTTTAATCGAAAAATTGGGGCCACTGTTAATCACACTACATGTTAATTTATACCATCATTTACTTATTATCCTGGAAACTTACTAAAGATATTATCTTCTTTATTAATATTATTGCAAAATGTTCACTAATTTCTTCCTTCTCTTATTACAATTCCTTTAATTGTTTCATAGTATTTTTTGAATTGTTTTTCTTTTTCTGTTTCTCCTTCCTAGTGTTATTATCTTGATACAATAATGAAAGTTAAGAATGTTAATATAGAAGATGATAACTGAATAATAATTTATCGTCCCCTATATTATTCTTCCTGATTTAAGACAAAATTTTGGTTTTTAAATTTTCATTACTCTCCTTCTCTTTATTATAGTTATTTTCTCCAGAGAATATTAAAAAATTATTATTGCAAGATCATTACCACTTCCTTCTATAATGCCATTGTTATTAATATTGTTACTCTTGGTGTGCTACGACAATAATAAAAATAATTCTGTTCGTTATTATTTATCATTATTTATGCATTACTAAAACTCATTGTTAGTTATTATTCTTATTTTTGACACAACTTTCTAACATATTCGTTGCAAGTGCAGCTGGCAATGTAGTAGAAATGTCAACCATATCACTGGCAATTTCTATTCACTTTCATCATTAAAACATTAACCGGTACACCATCACACCACTCTGCGTTCTTACTTAATTGTTATAAGTCAGTAAAATAGCACTAATCACACAGAAGACACTTGTTCAACTTCTGATCGGTGATTCTCTGATATTCACAGAGAATGGCACAGGACATGAATGAAGAGAGCTGAGGAAAGACTTACGCTTGTCCATCGAGAGCCCCTCTACTTTTCTTTCCTGAACGGAACACCTGCGTTCTTTCGTATTCTTCTACGGTGACAAAGACATCGTACGTGAGTAAGAGTGGCCAAGCCGAACTATTGTTCTTACAGTGGCGCTAATAATCTTACGTGTTACAATGGCCTCAAAACCCGTGCACCGTATTTAATCACTCTTCAATAATAGACAATGAAACGCTAACCAAAGTGTTGATTACAAAATAGCTCATTATTCGCAATTACAATACAACTAGATATAATTTAAATAAAATTATTCTAGTGTCATTATTGTTCAAAGAAAACAATTGTTCTATGTGATCGAAGGTGATCATCAAATAATCAGACGTGAAGTTATTTTACAAAGCAAATGATCTGGTTTTGAATAAACTGTTTTATAGATATAACTATTTTATAAAATCATTAAAGTTAATTATCTTTTCCATGTTCTTGCACCAAGTTTCCAATGTATAAACCGTTTTTTTTTTTTGAAGTGGTGTAAGTATAATTTTGAAGAAAATAAGTTACAGTAATAAGTACAATACAGTACAATATTTTCACGAATTAGTCGAAATAAATGTGGCTGTTAAATGTACTTGGATAAATGGTTCTTTTAAACTGATATAAATCCATTTGTAACAATGACTCAATTTATTTAATACTTTCTACGAAACAAAGTTAATAAAATATAGATAATACTTATTGATATTATGTATTTTTACGAGTGTATATTCATTTTTTCAGAGTGTCCTCTTATTAAACATATTGTAATAAAATTTTCAAAAATCTATACTAAATGAATATATTTTTACATTCAACGATACACATTGATTGTTTTTATTATAATTATTATTATTGATATTTTAAAATTAGATTTCAAACAAGTATACCTACTTTAATTGAAATATTAATTTCATTTTTTATGAGACACGTTGTTGACAATTTATTATTTGTGAAAGTGGTATAATTTCGTTTGCAGTTAATAAAAATACGGTTTTACCTTAGAATATTTATAAAAATGGTCACATAATAAAATTAAACATGTCAAGAATCTTAAAAGCCTCAAACAATTTTGTTACCGTTTAACATTATTTTTAAGTAGCGCAAAATACGAAACCTTACATATTTTGAAGTAAAAGAAAGTGAACTTATGCAACTTTAAAAAAAAACCGTTGATATGTTTTTTGTCTACTGATATGTACCTATTAGTGATTAATATCATTAAGTCGATTTTCATAAATGACGACGAACGATATTGAGAAACGGTAACCCTATGACATTTTCGAAATTTCGTAAATCGACCGAATTTCGATACGAGCAGTGAGAGGCACGAAATATTACGGTACTAGGAAATACATCGTTTTTTTGCACAGAAGACGTTGACCTGTGAAGTGAGTGTGCCAACTTATAGCCAAAAAGATGTTTTGCATATACGAAAACATTGTGAAAGTGGGTCGAAAATATATCACACTTTAGCGTGTTTAGTTTCGCAATCAGATGAAGTATTAGCACAACAATTGGCAGAATGCAATTTATAAAGGAAGAACAGATCACAATTTAATGAAATGTAATTATTAACATGTACTTCTTCAACCTTTATTTTTTACTACATAGGTATGTATATTCCTGTATCTAGATCCATGGGCTTGAGTCAAGCGTAGGGTACTCCTTTCCTTAATAATTGTTAGAATGTGTCGTTAGCCCACATTCTTAAAATGCATTGTCCTTATGTATTATGATCACATGTTCACTGTTCAACAAATTATTGCATTACTATTCCTTGAATTAAATTGGGCCTAAGTTGAAATTGAATTAAGGATATATATTTACTTATCTTCAGATTATAATACAGGGTGACAATAAAATACCCACAATTTTTGTTGCTCAGGTGTTTGTCCTGTTTTTATTATTTTTCGTTTATAATGAATGTTATATTTATATCCTAGTGCTGTCCTCTATGAAATTTTGTGACATTATACAATTCAAAAATGGTGAAAGAAGCTCGTATCTCGGCTATGAATTTGTACAAAAAGGGACATACCGCAAAAGCCATATCGAAACTGCTCAAAATGCCACCTAGAATCGTGCACGACGCTATCAAACGATACAAGGAAACTGGTGGATGTGAAGATAGACAAGGAAGGGGACGAAAACCAACAGTTATTACTTCGGATAATCTCAACAAAATACGCAGAATGACACAAGGAATCAATTTATAAAAAAAATTCTAGTGTTCCATTTTAAAAAAAAGTGCAGTTGCATTTTGGTAATTTCACAAAAATTTTCACTGACTATGTACTTTTTTCTAACTTTACTTGCAACAGAGCTAAAGCCTGGCCCAGTTGCCAGAATCAACCTGTATATTTCAATAATGATTTTTCAGCAATTTTTGTGGGTATTACCAAATATCGAGGAAAATGTTATAGACATTTAAATATTTGTCGTCTATTATCTTTTAATTCAGACTGTGTCAATCGTTCGTGAAACGTGATCACCTTCGATTCTTATTTCAATTTGTCGCTCACATTGTCAACACAAGGGTATAATTGTCGACTTGTCTCGTACTATGATTATGAGAATGCAGGTATCAATTTTCTGAACGGAAAAGTACGACGTTCAAGTGAATATCATTAACAGCTAGATCAGAATATTTATCGGGTACCAATTAAGATTTTCATCACTCTTTACCGTTTCTATAAAGTGGTTAAAGTTTAACTCTAAACACTATTTGTACATTTGTGAAAATTCCTATAGAAAAATAGCATTTCTTAGATCAATTTTATATTGGTCTTGATAATACAATTTATAACGCATCCTACAATTATCTAACAGGAACCAAAATGTAAAGTAAGTTGTGATGTGTAAATTTTTTAATAAATTATTTCATGAAATTAAATATACTTAACCAGACTAAATATAAAGTATTCATAATTATACTGAGATACGTTAAATGTTTCAATAAATATTTCTAAAGGAATAATAATTCTTTGATCATTTTTTTTATTGAACTAATATAAAAAATTTTAATGGAACTAACTATAAAAATAAAACAAATATATGGAAAACTTACATTTTGCACGAAACAAATTCCTTTGATAGATGCTGGATATTTATTCATCTGTAAAATATAACGATTTCTTCATGGCAATAAGATTAGAATAGAAATTCAACTTTTGATATTACTACCCATATAATTTGGAACACCCCAAAGTTTCTTTACTCAAAAATGAAAATCTTTCAATTGATTTTTCAGTTTAATCGTTTGTTACAGAGATTTTTCCAATGACGGAAGAAGTTGTTAAGAATTTCGTTGAAAATAAAAAATTCTTTAAATGGTTTTTAATATTATGTTGGATTAAAAATAAATTTGTACGTTTTAGAAAAACAATACAATTCACTTTCACACGAAATTGAATGGCTTAGTTCTAAAACGGTTCATCCCTTGGAAGAACCTTCAACCGTTTCCATATAAAAATTCAGTTTTCTCTACTCAAATAACGCTAAATTAAATAATATTATCGAATAAACGTTGGTTTGTTACGAAATAAATATTTGATGCTTCAAATCGTTCATTCGTTGCTTCTCGAAACTGGCTTTAATTGGCAAGCTTGGACCTTCGTATTATGTCATTTTTTGTTCTCCAGTTTATTACGTAGCTACTATAAAAAGTGAAATCGGTACATATGCATTTACAAATGTCTATCTCACTTTCGAAACGTGTATGTTTTAACGTATCACACACAACTGGTGATTACGGATGAATTATTTTGCACCTCTTTACCTTCATATTTGTGAACTATGTCAATATCACATCGCAAATTATTCTTTTTTGAATCTCTTTTGGATTACCTGAACATTACAGTAGAAATGCAATCACCGGTGTAAAACTTATATTTAAATTGAAACAAATCATTTCTAACGGTTTAACAGTTTGGAATCTATAACAAACATTTAATGGTCTTGAATAAAGTTGCAATAAAAAAATTGACTAAGAATACCAATAATACCAAATACACAATACTGTATGGTAGATTAATGGAAACATCGATAGCTTTATTAAGAAAATGGGATATTTAATACCGACTTTGAAATCTTTCACTTGAAATTAGTGTGAAGTTTTCTTTTATTATGTAACAAACCTGTTTGAGCGGACAAAACCATCAGATCAGTAACCTCTTTCAAAAATTTTGTACGTGAGTTATGATTAACGCTTCGTAACGTTTGTGACCATTTGAACAAAATATTCTTACAACGTACGAAGTTGATTGTACCAAATGATAGTCGGTGAAATAGTAATAAAAATACAAATACAGTAATAGCCATGAAAGTTTTTGAACAAAATTCAATCTAGTAACAGTAAATAATTGAATTATATAATTATATTGTTATTACTCAGTTAAAATCATTAAACTAACTCTTTTTGAAAGGTAACAATAAAAATGAAATAAAAGCGAGATATTACTGCTATCAACTGATTATTAATCAGAATATTATTAGGCGCCGAAAAAAGTTCGTGCAGCTTTTTCTCAACTGTAAATTGACAGCAAACTTTTTATCGTTCGACAAAGAAGACCAATATCGACACAAAGTGTATTCTATCGATCTAGCCTCCACGCGGTGGTCTCAATTTTCATATACATATTTCGATGTTGCATTGCCAGTGCATAATTAATAATACTTACTAAAGATATCAACATTTGTACTTTCCCACTTCATAGAGAAATGATATATGAACTTTATAACAAATCTCTCATATAATCTGCACCTTTTTTCCCGCAGCTACCATATAATTTTATTCATATCAAACTTTTTGTAGAACAAGCATTTTCAAAATAGCGATGAAGTGCATACAACAATAAACACATTTATTGATACTAATACCCAAGATTCAATTAACGGAATGTACATAAGGTTGTATAACTTGATACAGTTAGAAAATTATATACTACGACAACTATGTTGTATTAAATTGTTAATACAATCTATATCGACGTGCATTTCGAAAAGTGGAATGTTTTCATTTATACTGACGACGAATGGTATGTTGTACTTAGTATTTATAATAATTTAATATTGCGGTAATCAGAGAATTGTTGCGTCTTTTCTCTAATTAGATATCGGTAAATTGTTTCACTGATACAAGTTTCAGACACATTGAACTTTATTGCGAGCTCTCTTTGATAGTGATAATGGGTTATGGTTATTGTTATCTGTAAATCACTTTTATTTGTAGTCTTTGATTGTTTTAAACATGGTGTACGAAAAAATGTTAAATCGAAATTTGTTCATAGTTTTTATCTTATCATAGTTACCCTTATTTTAAAGTTACTTCTTACTAATCTATTAGATGTATCAATGAGTACCTAATATATTATTTGTTTTATTCAATTCAATGTTTATTTTCAAGGAAATCGAAAGCATGTGCTGTTTCACTAATATTCGTTATCATTATTCAACAGCTTATGCGATTTCGAAGAAAAGAAGTAGTGGCACGACATCTTGAATTTATATTATGTCATTAGTTTATCGAAACAAACAATAAATTATTTATTGGAAGACCTATACTTTATTTTTTTCTTTCAACTGTACAATGTAGGAAAATTTGCTTAATCAGTGTTACATTAAATACTGATTACTAAGTACTCAATCCTTACTAATTACAAATAAATATTAAGCGTAAATATTATTCTTTCCTAAGATGGCACTCCGATTTTACTATACTACAGTAGCTTGTAATTTTCGTAACAATGGCGGTCATTCTGTTACTGAAAATAAAGTTAAAATATGAAGACACTTTCTTAATTAAGAACACAGTCATGCGGAATTGAACCAAACGTTTTTTGCTTGTGTGAAAGTTGTAATACCAATTCCTCACACGTAAATAATGTATAAATTAAAGTATTATTATGTATCTTCGTCTAATAGATGTGCATTCAAATATACAGGGTGTCTCAGCGAAATTGATCACCTCGAATAATGATTTAACGGTACACTTTATGAAAATTTTGAGGCATGGAATTTAAATGGCATCAAGGGGCACATCTTATAAGATACGTGCTTTTTTTGTGGGTGCAGGCATTCAGAGATTTCAAGGTCATCTTGATTTTTTTTTACGGAATGACCTATGTTTTGTACCATAGATCGATAGAATATCAAATTCCGAGTAAAAATGTATTGACCTTCATACGTCCTAAACTTAATAGTTAACGAGATATTTACAAAATGATGTTTAATACGTACTTACTATCTGAAAGGTATAGGTGTTCGAACTGATGCCCCTCAACTCCAATACAGTGATTATATTGTAAATATCTCGTTAACTATTAGTTTTATGACGTATGAAGGTAAACACATTTTTACTCAAAATTTGATACCCTATCGTTCTATGATACGAAAAATAGTTCATTCTGTTAAAGAAAACATCAAGGTGACCTTGAAATCTCTGAATGCATCCTCCCACAAAATAAGCACGTATCTTATAAGATGTGGCCCTCGATGTCATTTAAGTTCCACGCCTCGAAATTTTCATAAAGTCTACAGTTAAGTCATTATTCGAGGTGATCAATTTAGCTGAGACACCCTGTATAAATATTTAGGCGAAGTAATCGAATTTCTGCAAAAATTATCCAGCGTGACAACACAGTTGAAAACATTGTGCGTACACATATTTTTTGTAACTATTAAATATTGCACAAATGTTTCTGGCACCCAAATCTTACATCTAAACAAAAACTAGCCTTATGGTGAAACCTCGCTGTTCCTTCGTGAATTTTCACGCGTCATCAGGAATGGTTTTTCTGGAGTAGGACATAGAAATTTTTCCGTTATTGATACCCAATGATCAGTCTTATTGCCGTACGGTTCTACCAAGTTGTTCCATAAAGAATTTCCATCTTGCAACAAATAAATTCAAACCAATGAACATATTATGAACTAAATAGTACGTTGAATGTATCCAAATATTGTGAAATGTGTTTATAGCGATTATACATAATAATATGTACCAGGTTAAACTGCTGCATTTGAGAGAAAAATTCAAACCGAGAAAAATATTTACAATCAACTTTAACAATTTTACCAAAACGATTAACATTGGCTTGTATGTATGTTTTTTATGATTCATTTTACCAGTTTCGTCAAAATAATTAGCATTGGTTTTTATGCATCATTGTTAATGATAATTGAGTTATGTGTGCATTTGCAGTGAATGTTGCTGTTCTTTGATAAAACAAATTTCCACATTATGTTTATTATTGTGTCTGTACAAACGTTTTGATGCATTGAAATGTATTAAAAATTATCTGTTGATTAAAAATATCTACTACTTTTTTTACTATATTTTTTAGAATTTGAGATTTTGAAAGTTTGATGAAGCCAAGTTGTCGAATGCACATTTCATCTCGACACGCTGTAGGAAAAGGTAAAAAGAATGAGTCCTTCATAACACGTCCCTGTGTATTCTAAGGAATTAGAACTAGAAATGTGTCATTATTTACGTCGAAAGTGACGGAAGTGTTGCACCAATCACGGAAATAGATAAGAACACAACTATGGTCATAATTTGTTTACTTGTTATATCGCAACCTCATTTTAGTCGATTGAAGGTCCTCATAGTAAAGTACAATTATAATAGTAGGTACACAGAAATAAGTCAAATTTAGTTCATAGTTTGTGTACTCGCGTGCAGCAAACAAAAATATTTGTACTACATATTAGAAGATTAAAACCGTTACAAAATTTGTATTTTAACAGTTAGAATAATAATACGTAAAAATAATTCAAATAAGTCAAATTTAGTTCATAGTTTGTGTACTCGCGTGCAGCAAACAAAAATATTTGTACTACATATTAGAAGATTAAAACCGTTACAAAATTTGTATTTTAACAGTTAGAATAATAATACGTAAAAATAATTAGGTCTGTAAAAATTATAGAAACAATTATCGGGCTTCGTCCCAAGTGAAGTTAAAAAACAATTGTGGTGCAGAATTTAGTATTATTTAACAACAATTTTATGTTCGTTTTCACAACGGTGTATGCAAGAGTGCACTTGCAAAATGCAAGTACGCCATTTGTATGATTTGAATGATTTTCAATGATCATTTCAAATATAAATGTAACACGTTACTAAATTCTTGCGCATAAAATGATCGAGTTTACTGTAATGTGTGTTCCACAATATCTTTACAAACGAAAATTATTTGCTCAAAATTATTGCTGAAAATTATAACTGCTATATGCAAGTTAAATTTGTTCTCTGCTGTTTTAGAAATTGATGGAATGTTATATAGTAATTAGTAATGAATTAAAAACAGAGAATAAATCTATTATAAAATTCAACTAATTGTCTTACACACATTGAAACATGGAAATTTCTAGCGAAATTTGTAATTAAACTTCATATAATCCTATATATACTTGTAATTAAACTTCGTCTAATAATAAACTTCCGACAAGGAACATTTTTTAGTAAAGAACTCGTTCACCAAAAAGCATAATAATTATAAATCTCTTCGAAAAATCACGTTCAATTTCGTAATACGGTTTTAAAAATTGTATTTTTTTGTATTGTAAACTTATGGTGTTTATCAAAACTTATTTTATACAACACCAGATAGATAAGATAGTACATCTGTCATTTTATGCCTAAAAACCTAATATCACGGTTTCTTTGGTTACTGCGTAGGTTAGTTAAGTTAATTAAACTTACATAGAGCATTTGTCTTCTGAGATACATGAAAACAATCGTAGGAAAGGTACGACAAGTCAGCGTATCCGTCCTCAAGCAATGGTATGGTTACTCGCGTAAGGGCAGGCAGAGTTACGACTGTGAAATCATCTCTATGGAATTCTGGGTAGTCTGCAACCTCTTCCTCCAGTTTCTGCCATCTGTAAACGTGAAATTAATGTAACATGGTGAATAAACAGTTCCTTTATTAATGGAGGCAATATATGGCGCATCTAAATGATTTACAAAGTAACCATAAAAATTTTGTTGTGTATTTTCGAGTTACTTTTTCGTGTAAAATTACCACAATTTCGGTTCTACCACTAATTCTATGACATGTATATATGTTATACGGTGAGTCATTTAAATCGATCTTTTCGAATATCTTCGAAACAGTCTTTACTGTAATAGTTTTTTTAAGTAATTTTGAAAACAACACTCCTCATTGGGAGGAGTTAATATAAGTAAAAAACACTCTACATGCAGTAATTATTTTTGATAAATTTTACAAACCTTCTATTAATTTCGTAATACAGCTGTCTCAGGGGCCGATGTTGCAGAGCAATCAGACAGGGACATGCAGTTGTGGTGAATAAGTAGCACCTGAGCGAGTCCCTTCCTTGTTGTGCATTAACGAGGGCACTTAAGTGCGGAGGTAAAATGAGGATAACGAGTGTTCGTGGCAGATTGTCCCTTAGGATTTCGAGTGTTTTAATGATATCAGCTTTGTGCTCTTCCACAATGGACCACGGCGAAGGAACAGAACATACATTGCTACAAATGTCGTTACAGCCAATCATCAGGGAAACCAACTGTAAAGAATACAGAATTTATTATTTCGAGTGAAATTATTTTTGCAACTCGCACTATGCGCAGAACAGATCGAGGCATTATTATCATGTGACATATTATAATAGCTTATTAAATTGTAGAGGAAACCTTTAAAAATTTCATTCAAGCAATAAAAGGAAGAATTTTTAAGAGATAAAATGGCACCTGATCGGACAACGATATAATAGACTTAACCTTGACGAAATTGTGTAGAATATCAACGATAGACTTGTGAGATAGCACATTAAGGTACATAATGCTAAACGTGTTTGTGATTTAATTATACAATGCAAACTATTTAAAAGTTACCTTACATTTCTGAACTATAATTCAGAGTCATTGGAAATGGTGTCTTCAAAATAAGACTGACCTTATCACTTGATAGAAAGGACCAAATTATAATGACGAAAATAAAAATTAGACATGCTGGAGTCAAAGTCCTAAATACGACAATTTTCGAAATACCAGGCCAATTAAAAAATTGCTCAAAAGCGCGTGCTAAGATTATATTTCTCTGGGGTTTGGCTGATCAGTTCGAGATTTGATTTTTCTAAACCATGTTGTTTTTCTATGTAAATGACATTTCTATTTATATATTTTTTTTAATATATGTTCTCCGAAATAGTTTTACAACCGATACGTTATTTTACTTTTTTTAAGCTAATTTAGATTATTAAAGTTTAATATTTTAAGTGTAATATTTTTTATTTGTTCTATTAAATACAAATGTATAATTGTGCAGAATATGTGGGTATTAAATAGAATTAATTAAAAGAACGTTTATTTACTGTGAACAAAATTGCACAAGCTTTTGTATTAGAAATCGTACACTTTTTGATTTCTTCCGTACACATATGAGTGTGTGTTTATACCAATCATTTGTGTAGGACAATTATAGAATGATTAAGAAGTGCGTTAATTTCAATTGTTGGTTACTTACTTGTTGTCAGTAATAGGACTATATTAATAGATAAAGTTAGTTATTACAAGGAATTAAAGGAACTCTTTGTATTATTATTTACTTGAGAATATATATTAACACTAACCATTTAAAAAATGCTAATTATTTTAATTTGTTTTATATACTAACAAATACAATGAATCACAAATTTGATCCCAAAGACATCTTCATTTCTATGAATCTTTTGGTAACCGTAATATAGAAATTTTATATCGATTCCAAATCTTGTATAGGCCACTATTATTTAGCATACGAACCTTCCAATGGTTTTTCATATCAATTCTTGGATCCTTTTTCATTCTGTCGATTAGATAGTGAGCCATGTAAGGCATATCTCGGGACATTGCGCCAATTTCAGCAACATTTAGCTGCGAAGCTGAATGACTAGTATAGGAGGTTCCTTGTGCGTAGCCTATCAAATTCGGATTGTATTCCTATATAAACGAAAGTACGTTATAAATAATCTTGTTTTATAATTGAACACAGTTAAATAATACACAGTGTCTCAAAATCGGTAATCAAGCTGTACCAAGTAAATCGTACTAAATAAATATATAACATAAAGTAAATCTCACGCAGAAAAGGAAAACATAAGTGAATCTGTTTTGGTAAAACTTGGCACAGTGATAGAATATCGGAAAATCTTTTATATTTTTTTCTTAAAAGGAAAACTTCTGAAAAGAACATTAAAAAAGCTTCTCCTGCACTAAAAAGTGTTTTGTAGAGAATTTTCAATATTTTTTTTCTTACTGATTCATGCCATAGCTACACTCGTACTAATCTTTTTGGTTTTTTCGTATCAAATGAGCAGAATAGCCGGAATCGTGTTAGCTAGTAGGACCCTTTTTTAAGCGATCGTACTAAATGATTTATAATTCAGTGAATTTTGATTATTTTCACATAATAAAGATCATGCATATTCTTCAAACATAAATAAATATGTGTGTAAAAAAAGTCAATACCAAAAAGTCTTACGTTTTTTTTTTAAAAAGTGCCTAAGAAACCCTAAAATATGCCATTCTAGACTAGAATACCATCTTAACTGTTACTATGTTCGACGCGGGTTTCTTGTATTTCTAGTCAATACTAAAAGTCAGAAACATACTTTTAGTATATTCGGAAGTGTCACATATGTTCGCCAAGTTCCTTGGCCACCGGAACTTGCTGAGGCACCCCGATTCTCGAGGATCAGCTCAAAGACACTATTCGCGAACATTCCATAGCCCGCTGTCAAAGAGTCGCCCATCCCTGCGATCACGTCTATATCTCCTGGCCTCAAACGATGAACCGAAGTTGGTACTCGTGAAGATCTACCACCTAATTGTACAATCTTTATACTTGGATATGACAAGGTTTCTTATTGGACTCGTGGAAAACTGATGTCGGTTTTGAATAGTATATTCATGAGAACAGAAAGTTATCTATACAACACGTGACATTTATTTAACCCTCCGAGTACTGGATTCGCGGGACGTCCGTGGCCGGATCATTTTTTACTCATATCGATAGGTTACTAATACAAAGTCACGGTGGCTCGAGCTCGAAGCCCTTATCGACACTGTAGAAGTAATGTCGACTGAAAGGAAGGACAGCGAGTAAAAAAGGAAATAAAGTGAGCCGAAAACGATTCATGCAATGTCACACGTCGACCAGTTCCCGAATTACACGGACAGCTCCATCGCTGTGTGCGTATCGCTCCCGCGAGCCCATGACGTGACTCCGGCGTCGTTTACGGAGGGTTAAGCACAGACATTAATTCAATTGGAATTATTCTCGTGAATCGATGGAAGATTGTGGATGGGAATACTGATATGACAAAAAAAAATAGTGTAATGAATCCAAATAATTTTATTCAGCATATCAGTAACGTGTCTGCAATGATTGTAGTGCTAGTTTAGATAGGTTCATTGTGCTGATCCTGATTTCCGTGACGAATGTCATTGTCCATTGATAATTTGTTGGGCAAAATTATTGCCAGAAACGATGTCAAATGTATCGGGATATCATACAAGTCTTTAAAATAGACTATAATACAGTTTTAAATAATTTGTCTAAATTGCAAAACCGATATTAGTTTTCCATCAACTCGATATAATAAATATTATATTGAATAATAACACAATTATATTATTACTATGAAAACATAAAGGTTTTTTGTAAGAGTTTTAAGCTTCTATTTGTTTGTAGAAGGACCATTTCGAAATAATAATCTTTACCGGAAATTCAAAACAATACCGACTGTCGAAGTTACGTTTAATTCAAGGTTGTGTACTGCATTAGAATTCTGTTACGTTTCTAATGTACTCAAAAAACCATGAATTTTAGTATTTACATCACATACGAACGTACAAAGCACTATCCCATAAAAACTACGATAAATATTAATGAGGTCTTCACTTTATTTCTCTCTTACTATTTAGACATAAAATAATCTTGTTTCTGCTCTTTTTCGAATAATCTCTGAAAATGTAAGTTTTGTACCTTATTCGGGAATTACGTTCATCCAATATTAACTAAAACGGTTATTTTTTGCATAAATTAATTCCTCGAGTCACTCTGCGAATAAATGATGTAAGTTATAATCATGCAAAGCACAATACTTTACCAGGTACTTAATTTTTCTCGAAAATTTACAGCAAGCACTTAAATTTTTCATCACTATATTCTCAACGGTGTTTTAAACGTTTCTTGATATTTTCCATTACATTTTAATAATTCTAACACTTTAAAAATAATTTCCAAAAATTTCCAACCATTTTCAACCAGTTTCAACAATGTTCACAATTTTTAGCAATTGTTAATAATTTTTAAATATTACAGTTAGTTATCGTTTCAGTCATAATTACTTGAAGCAAAAATTTGCCACTTTATAATATTTTTTGTAAAATCCCATACGAAAAAAATCAATAGCGTTTAAATCGGGCGAACGTGGTCAAGGTTTTTAGACTGTGGGTGACAAACCTGTTTTTTCCATATGTTTCGGTTAAGCGTCTTATTACAATCTGAATTTTATGAGTCGGTGCTCCACCTTGCTGACAGTATTTTCGTGACTGCATCACGATAGCAATGCGATGATTCAACGTTAACATGGTCATTGTTTAAATGTGAGTACAGAACAACTGAATAATGTAATGGTAAATGTGAAGAAATGTTTATAAAACAATGTTTAGAATGTAATGGTGAAACATTTGTACCCTGCTGTGAATTTTCAAAAAAAATTAAACACCTGACAAACAATTATAACAATATTATAGTTATATTTACTTCAGAAATCAAACCAATGCTTAATTTAAAAATCCACATAGTTGCAACGACTGGCTAAAGTATTATATTGTATGTAATATTGTTACATATTTAAACAAATATGATAGAATTTTAAAGATATTCATCAAGTATGACGGCAAATCACTTCTTGCGATAAACCAGTTTCCATTTAGAATAACAATTGACAGGTCAGCAATGATGATCGTACCCTATCAATCAAGTAACGAGAAATTAATTAAAATGGAAGTAGGATAAGAGCTTAGATGAATTATTTCGAAATACAAACAGCTTCTTATGCTCTTATTTTAAGCAGCTTTAATTTATAGAATATCCATAGTAACATTTATATTACCAGTGTTTATTTCATAAACAGACGAAATTTCATTAGGAACCCGGAATTCATCGAATGATCTAATTTTCGATTAGTTAATTCGAATTTCAACTTTTACAAATCTAATCTGTCGAGAAAGATTTTGTTAAAAATTACAAATATATTGCAATATCGGTATACAGATCATCATTGCATAATTATGAAATTATAAACAACTAGTAAAGAACTATACTAATTAAATGGTGTTTTTTAATTTAGTAAAAAATTGTATTTTCAATGACCTCGCTTTACATCATTTACTCGCTGAATGACTCGAGGAATCAATTTATGAAAAGCAAGTTGTTTCATTTAAAAAAAAAGTGCAATTGCATATTGTAAGTGCACCAATACATATGCCAGAAACTTTGTGCCATAGGATACCACAGCTTGTTAAACAATGCGAAATTTTGTTATATGATTTTTTTCTTACTTCACTTTGAGCAGAGGCATAGTTTGGCCCAGTTGTTAAAATTACCCTGTAAGGTGCAGATAAGAAAAGATTTCAAATACATATTCTCACACATATACTTTTGTTTATAAATGTTAGGACACATATCGAATAGAAAGTAAATGTAATAAATTATTACGAAATTGCTGAAGGTTTTAAATACATATTGTTTAGGTCTTAAAGCTCGATATACAGCAATCGTGTTAATATAAAGTAAGAGAAGTGGTACAAATTGTAGAATTTTTATGAAACGTTATATTTTCTTCATACAGAGCAGATATCCTAACACATATTAACGGTAATGTATGTAGTAATTACATTATATTAACTGACAAATACCATTTTTGTACAGCTGATCTTCGCCGAAAGTGACATAATCATGACACTAAATATATTCAAATCATAATACATATGTATGTGTAATTAATGAAGACGTAGTGTGAAAATGAAGCAATTAAAATTAATTATACTTATTTACTATCAAAAACTTAAAATATTGAAAACTAAGAAAACTCTACCCTTTCAATATTAATGCTTTTCTGCTATTGTCTGTTAGAATGTATTGTCATTTGTCATCTTTCTCATTAGGTATACATTTATATATACGTTTTATGACTTAATGTTGAGCTTTACATAATGTTCATTACGTGTATTCATTTAATATTCTTATTGTCATTTATGTCTGTCTTCTCAGTTATTATCGTTTCTTTGTATCAATCAACGCGTTTCGACTAAATTATTTACATTCATGTAACAATTTACACGTGAACTGACGAAACATTTTTAAAAAGGCAATTATTTGTTTATTAAATATTTAAAAATTAAAAGGAGAAATAAATAATGCATTACTTGTTGTCTGTACTGCCATGATATTTGATATATCTTCAATAAAAAAGGCGAATTTTTTTTTTCAATTCCTTTTAGCTCAAACAGTGTATGATATAAACAAGAGTCTAAAATACAATGAATATATTCGATTTTACATTCCCCTTCGTTGCGTATAAAACGGGGTGATCTTATTTTGGAACTTCAATTACCTGTTACGTTGCAGGGGAACGGAACACTTGGCGGAATTTCAGCTTGGATATTTGAAGGGGGTTCACTATCAATTCTTCTGTTTCCATCTCTGTTACCTGTCACGTGCAATTACATTGTATTAATTATTCAATTATTTAGCACTTCGATATTTATAAATTATGCAATAATTTAATAAGTATATGGAGTAAGTATAGACGGTATAAATAAGTGTAGAATTTATTTAAATTAATTTTAATTTAATTGTACTGCTTGTATATATTTACGCTTTAACACACACCAATTTTATTAGATATTGTTAATAGTTATACCGACGATTGTTTTTCACATTTATGTCGCGTTTATAAAAATCCAAATTAAAAGGATAAAACTACCCCCTTAGTTCTAATTTCCATGTGCTATATCGGAAATACTACGTAATAAAATGACTCATAATTGTTAAATTAACTCTATATAATTACATATAAGGCAGTATAAAAATTACTACGTGGAAAATAATATTGTTTATTGTGTTGATAATATACAGTAACAAAAGAATTATTATAATAATTTATATTGTCACTTTTAAAAGTGTTACATGACAAGTTCTAACGACTTACTATAATTATAATTTATAAATCAATGTTTGAACTATAATCATACTATATTAACTTTACAGATTAAATCGGTGCATATTTAAAAATTCATGTAGTTACGATGACCGTCCATGTAGTTACTTATATCGTGTTGACTGAAGGTTAAAGGATAACTATCAGAACTCATGTATGACCTGCAATTAAGGACGTCACTTTTTGCGACAACTCAGTTTCCGATTAGAATTGCAATTGAGTAATTAAGAATGATTATACTGTTCAACACATAAAAAGTATTGCAATTTTCAATAGGCATTTCTGATAGATCCTTATGAGCTGAATACGAATTTGCAAATCGTTTCTTTCCAGTACGTCCAGCTTTTGGAAAAATTAATTTAAAAAAAAATACAAACTTCCAACTTTAGATCTGTGTGGTGCCTTTACAGTAATAGTTATTTAGTTTCTTTTGGCATGAAATAATTCGCTGGACTCTTCCGAATAAAATGGTTTAAATTCTTATTATATTAAAGATATCTAAATATGTTTAAATAATATTCAAAGTGAAAAGGACACTGAAAACGCACCAATTTTTAATGATATTCCTCCATTTATTTTAAGCACTAAGGATCTAGGAGAAAATCTAATCATAGCAAGCGATAGAGCAGACATTTCTGCTGAGGAAGGTGTTAAGGAAAGTTGCAAAATCTGTTAAAATTTGACATCAGTTTGCAACCATTCAAAATGACACAATAATAACTGTATACACTGATATAATCAAGAAACTCTCCTCTATCTTTTAAGATTCTGAACATTGTAGCGTTTTTAGTTTTCACGTAATATGTCAGTTTTTCCTGAAATCGTGCGTCATTACAGCAATTTGTGTTTTTCCAAAACTGAGGGTGATAGAGCAATTCTGTTTGCGGATTGTGTTTAGGACGATAAATTCTACAAGAACCATCCAGTGGATATTACAAAACAGAACTAAGGTTAAAATTTATTGGACAGTGTAATTAAACTGGAAGTAGAATAGGAGCTTAGATGAATTGATTCGAAACAAAAATGGCGTTTTACATTCTTATTTTAGGTATTTAATTTATATATGTAATATGTATAACAACATCTACAATGCGTTCATAAAAATGTTAGACATTTTCACAGGGTGGCTTCTACGTGCCAAACTAACATGAAACTCAAGAATGACGGAATTATGTTTGAAGCTTCGTTTTCAAGTTATTAATTGTTGAAAATACGGCAAATATGTTTGGCGCGATGGGTTATACTACTTAAAACAATCGGTTTCCAGCTAATAAATGGGATTGATTTATAATCTACTTGAATTTATGAATGAAATAAAACGAAATGAATGAAACTAAATTATGAAACGGTTAAAGAATGTGACTCTCGTGTAGAATAACTCGTCGCGTCAGATGTTTACGCATCTTTCGCCCGAACCTGCAACAATTAATAACTTGGAAACGAAGCCTCGAACACAGTTTCGTCGTTCCTGATTTTGGTTTAAGATTGACATGTAGAAACTACCCTATGAGTGTCAACAATTTATTTGCACCCTGTATATTCTCACTGTTTAGGAAAGTATGTCATTTTTAACAAGATTTTATTGAAAATTAAAAATATATTGCAATATCAGTATACGGATTATCATTGGATAATTATGAAATTAGAAAAAATTAGTAAAGAGCTATACTAATTAAATAGCTTTTATAAAATTGATAACAATCTGTCATTAACATTTACCATTTATGTAATTGTTTTAATTTCATTGAACCTTCCATTTCTATTATAGTTACTACAAAATCGCTTAATCTTCCTATTTTTAATACTCAATATAAAAATATACACATGGTAACATTATCTGACCAAAGTTTTAGTCAAACTTTATATTTATACAAACCAGCTACGCGTCATTCAGTAATACTTTTTCGTATGGTTCAATTCAATTTTCATGATTTTAACACAGAAATCAAAAACATACACAGAGTATTATCAGAAGAACGTACCTTTCATTCAGTTTTTACACGATACAGTTGAACGAAATTAATATCATTCATTTTTCCCACTTAAAAATGAAACCATACCCCGAGTGCTTTTATATAAATACACTCTGTAGCTACTACATCCACGAAGCTAGATATCTGTCGATGAATTCAGTCAATTGCATTCAAATTTTCCACTTCAGTACAATCTTATTCAAGTTTCCCAGACTGCAAAGTAACTGCATTTAATACTATCACTCGTAATCCTTGTAAAAAAATCGAGTACTTTTGTTGGTAATGAACTACACTAGTGACCAAGTATGTGTAAGAAGACATACTATGGTTGCAACGTTGTATGAGCAACGTGCACTATGTGAGAGGTCTTGACAGTGTATAAATTTATTGAACCGTGATGTTTTTACGTTTCATTGTGGAAAAGCAAATCTCAAACTTCTACGAAAGCATGAATATTCACTGAGAGTATCCAATAAATGCTATGCTTCAGCAATTTACTCGGTTGCAACATTTGCATTCACTGAAACAATTTTCCTGTGTCTTGGTCAGCGTGTATTCAATACTGCCTACCTGTCAGTGTAATATTTCCTCCAGATTGCGACACGAAATTTGCAAAGCTGCAGTGCTAAACTTTCTTTGTCCAGCATGTAAACGTGATCGTCTCAAAAACTAATATGTAATAATATAAACACTTTGCAATTGTAGTTCTTTATTTGTATAATAAAGAAATATTTTAAACCCAATCCCGTTTAAAAAAGTTTGATTAAAAGTCTTCAAAACATTCAGACGGTTAAAACTAATAAATACACATACACAGTGCCTGTCAAAATTGTCTGTCTAAACTATAATTTCACCATATCTTTGTCATAACTTCTGCCAGACCCGTATTTGTCAGAAGCAGGAGAACAGATTTTTTTTATGAAAAGAAATTTTTAATATCGCCAAATCTGAAGAAGCAACGTATCCTGACTATAAGTACACCTAGAGTTTATTCGTATCATATATTTTTAAAAGGAGACCTTTAAAATACAATTTGGCCGGCAACGTTCGGCAGTCACTGTAAGTATAACTTTAAAAGCTCATAAATTCATAAATTAATGAACACGTTTCATGTAGGCAAATATTACGTTCACTCTTTCAAAACCCTAATTCTACCCTGCCCTCTGTCCTTCCAATCGCGAATGAAAATCTATAGATTCTAACAGTTCAAAGCTACCGTGGATAAAACACAAACAATTTTTAAACTTTTTATCCAACACTAATCAGACATAAAAATATCATTTATTCTTCATTCGAGAACGATTTGAATTCAGTTAGGCGGTATTAGGTGCGCTTACCCTCTATCATTCAAAGCGAAACTATACACGTGCCATAGCGACGAACACAAACCCTCCCTGTTCACCGTGCACAAAATATCGTGAGAAAAAGAAAAAGATGATCCAAAGTCACTCTAAGCACATACCGACAGTACGGAAAATGAAGTTGCGGAATTGCCGATAAAGCTCCAGGTTCAACGGATTGTCCAATTCCGTTCGTTGAGCTGCCAAGAGGGAGCAGAACTGCAGGATCAAGAGGAGCGTTAGCTTCCTCATGTCAAGCGCGTCGCGTGCGGCGGACTGGTTACGCGCAGAGCGGCAGACAATATTCGCGAGCTTTCCCGCTCGCGGCACTGTACAATTCTGAGATGGCTCTGTGCGTGGCTGCCTTTCGGTGATTCGCCTGTGATCCGAGATCGGAATACATACACGTGAAATACAATACGAAACTGTCGGGACGGCTGCTGCGTGCACGTATCATCGGCGACCTTGATTGTATCCATAGCCGGTTCTGAGTTTCAATGATCGCTACGAAGGACACTCGTTAAACGTCGCCCGTGATTGGGAAAAAGCCAGGAGTTACTAATATATTTCACAAAGTTGGATCGTGGAAATGACGAAGCAATTACCTCGTTGCTTTTTTCTTTTTTTTTTGTCCACGCCCCTCGTCATCGTATACTTACGAGCCTGGTTAGCCTGTTGGTGTCTGTACAGGTTCTCTTAGGGTGATTCTATACACCCGAGAGAGTCACCGGGGGGTTTTTAGCGGGTGAAACCCCGCATTGGCCGTCTCCGCCCCCAGCGGAGGCAGTGCACCTTTATCAAGGTTTCAATTATTTACCCTTTTATTGTTAGTAAAATAAAGCAATTATATAAAAATCACGCTTTGTTTTTTATAGTTAAGCTACTTTCAAATGCTTAAATAATGTTAGTTAAAAAAATTCTAACATTATATTTTACCTTAAAATATCTGTTAAATAGTGTGATCCTTCAGAATGTTTATTAATGGAATACGAAATAACTCTTATAACTGATCAACAATAAGAGAGTTAACATGTTGAAGTACAAAGTTAACATAAAGTAGAAAAGAAATAATTTAAAAGTTTAAAGTTCAGTAAATAACTTTTATTTATAACAAATTGGTGGCTGATATGGATATAATGCAGATTTTATTCGTATGTGGTATTAACTCGATTCGTATGAAATATCACTTTTATAGTTTGGTATACATACCTGGACCTCAGAGCCAGAGTGTACTAAGACTACTATTTTTTAAGAAATTACATTTTACATGTTTCCCATATCAAATTTTTCACTCTTTCTGATAGTAAAATTATTTCGTTCTAGGTCGTTTAGTTATTAACATATTAGTGTAAAAATAATATTATGTGCATATCTTGTTCCGAGCCAAATAGTGTAGAGTCCATCATTAATAAATGGAATTTAATGCAATCTTCACCATTTCTACACATCAAGACCTGTTTTAAGTCCATTGAATAAAAGGGCATATTGTGACATAAACATATTCTGCGTGGGTGAAGGTGTAGAGGAGATTTCAAGGTCATCTCTATTTTTTTTAATGGAATGCTATGTTTTTTTTATCGCGATGTGGTAGCCGGTGTTGAGACAACTTCAGCGAGCTATCATTGATGGTCATGTAAGGTCAAATATGGTAGTAAAATAAACTTTTTTATATTACAGGAGATGCTCGAAGTGGTGACCGTTTGCGTCAATGCAAAGTTGCAATCTTCGTATCGCTGCATCATGTGCATGTATTATCGTTTCTGAACTTACAATACAATTGTAAGGTACAATTCACTTCTTGTCTTGACCCTTGTGTGTTATTATCTTGTCTTTGTATGTACCAACATTTACTGTCAAAAAATAGTCCTGCAATTTGTGGCAAATGTAACGTATAAATAACTGCCAATCATTTAATTGTACACTGCAATGAATATTCGACATGACAAAAAAAGAACATGAGCTATAACTTAATAAAATATACTGTGAACCAATTGTTTTAGTAAAAGAAATTTCACTATCCTTAAATCTAAACTAAAATATACCTTCTTTCCAAAAACCATAACGAATTATATCAATAATAATAACGATAATTGTAGTAAGAATGTAATCAGTAAAATATTCTTCGAATTTTTAAAAAATGAAAAAATATTTACTTTTATTATTTAATGCGTGACAAAAGTAACTTTGAAGGAATAATCAAGTTTTCCTTGTTTTAGTATTTACAATCTGTTCTCAATGTGTTTTACACCATATACGTACATATTATTGCAACACATTTAATAATATGAAATGGGCTAATAAAAACACACAAAGAATTATTAATAGTAAATAATCTCAAATATTTTTAAAATTGTAATATAAAGGTCACTTTGACTTTGTTACAAGAGTAATTAAAGTTATATCAACTGTATAATCGTTCCGTTAATATCAAGAGGCTTGATCATCGATTATTCGATCATTCGATTTCATTATATGTGAGTACAAAATACAGTTATCTTTGTACACATACGGAAATTAACATTTCATCTGACACTTAGGTGGATGACTCGACAATTTTTTCTTAGAATCTCATTAACACCGATTATTGATGTAACGATTATTTAACTTCTGAATTTTGATTTTTCCAGACTAACAGCTCCCCATTTTCTCATATGACAGACGCTATTTTTCAGCAATAACAATAACAACAATTGCAATCGATTCAAAAATATTTTATACAGTAATTTAAATTTTGGTTGCCTTAAGAAATACTTTGCAGTCATTTTGTGTATAATTAATGGAAGGTGAACTTAATATTATTTTTAATAGAAGATTAAACAATCGTTTTTTTTTAGTTAATGTACTCTTTAAGACGTAACAGTGATGGTACGCAATACCTCTTTTTGGGTCAAGAGCAAATCTTAGTGTCGTGTTGTGAGATGACACTATCAAAGATTTAAAAGCTCATATAAGTAGAAGAAAATCTATGTTGACGTTCTAGGAATAATACGAATGATTTCAGTAATGTATGCTGAATTTTACACGCTGGGGTGAAAAGCAAAAACTTATTTCGTTTAGTAATTCTACTGTATTTTGCATATTTATACATGTAAAATATGCGGTGAATCAGGCCCGGATTAAGAATTTTTGGGGCCCGGCGCTATCAAACCTTAGGGGGCCCACTCGGTAAAAAAGCGGGGGGGGATTTTGTAATAAAACATACAATAAAATACATAATTCCTTAAAAACTGAAATTTATTCTAAATAAATTAAAATTAAATTGAGTTAAATATTTCTAAATAATAATGATTTACAAATAAATAATGTTACATATAAGACAAACGGCGAAAACAATTTTAAAAAACTTTTGATTAAAATTTTTCTTTCTTGATTTTAATTTTACAAAATCTTTTATTAAAACTTCAAAATCGATAGATCCTAATAATTCAGCTTCAATTGCTAAACGTGTTAAGCATGATAACCGATCATTTAACATAGTCGCTCGAAACATATTCGTTATTCTTTTTAATAAAAAAAATGATCTTTCGGCCTCACAATTTGCGATAGGAGTAGTTAGAAATAATCTGTATGCAATATATACATTCGGAAAAACATCAATTCATTGTCGATCTCCTATCCAATTCAACACCTTCAAAGGAGACATTGAGTTGTCTTTTTGATCTTGAATTTTCGTGCGATTAGAAAAAAAACCTTCAGGTTGTAATTGTAATAATGCAGTGAATTGCTCTAATTCATAAGCAAAACTATCTTGTAAATCTTTCGAGTAAATTTTCATTAAATTTAGAGCTTTCATGTGCATTTCATTTCTGTCTAAGGTCAGTAAGTTGCATATAAATCCAAATAAATCAATGATGTGAGTATAAGCTTCACTTCGCTTTTTTAATTCCGCTATTAATTTATAAATTATTAAATAAATTTTCTAATTACTTCAAAAGAGATTTCTAATTATTTCAAAAGGGAAACAGTAAACAAAAATTCATTCAATTATTTTTGACATACATAAATGGATGGCTTAGAATAGGGCCCCCCTAGAAAGTAGGGCCCCGGGACGACAGGTCCCCCGCCCCCACCCCTCTTGATCTGGGCCAGCGGTAAATGGATAATAATTAACTGATCTACATGTAAAAACAAGTGTAAATGTTACACATATCATACACGTCTACATAGTATAGTATAACTATTTAGCCTTGCTTCTTGACTTTGAAGTGTTTCATAATTTGTTTTTATAATGTTCATGGTACGAGTTTCTTACATATATTTCTAATGGACTGATACACGTGTATGATATAATATATCGATCACAGTGCAATAAATGAATACAAGTAGCAAAGAAGAAGTTGTATCAATAAAGTAAAAACTACTGAAATGGAAATAGTGTTGGAAAGAAGGAAAAACGAGTATATTGTAAAATAGTCATGAGACAGAAAATAATAAATAATTTAGTGTAATTAAAAAATAAATTACAATATATGTAGTACATTTAAATGCAGTAAAGATGTGTAAAATAGATGCAAAAACGTGTACGTTAAAAAAAGCATGTATTTTTTGTAAAATACTTTGATTATTTCACTTTCGAGCTAGAATTATTAAGCATCTATCTACAAGGAAACAAATATAAAAGAAACTGAAAGAGAAACATTTTCTAACTTTGTTATTGAAGCTGCTATCTAAAGCTGTCATCTAAGAATGTACGAATTAATTTGAAGAAAGTTTCAAGTACGATTGAAATTTGTTATTTTGATCATTATGCAACTTTGAAACAGAAATTCGATTAAGCACCGTGTATCACGGTTGGTCACATCAAAGAAATTACACAATGGAACATTTATAATTGCGACGTATTCGACTCGTGACGTCTGTTTGATCGGATTTTTCTTATTCACCATGTAGCTAACGAAATCGTAAAACGTGACAAAGGGGCTGATGTTCCTCGAACGGTAAAATATGCCACCAGGAAACTCACGGCGTGCATATGAATCACAATCGCTCGTATTCAAATAAGTCTCTGACTTTTCTCGAGTTCGATCTGCCTTTATTTCAACATTCTCCAGGAATGGTCTCATTCCGTTACCAGAAATTTTCATTCTTCGTGGTCAGGACACGCGTTCGTACTTATTCACTCATGTTTCAAGCTTTACTACTCAGCTTAGAGTCTTCGATAAATTGATAATAAGTTTTCGTAATAACAATTTCAATTTTGATCAACAAGCATTTAATAAAAACTTCATATTTTAAAAATCATTTACTTTATATAAAAAGCGTAATATGAACATATGATATCACAGG